GTGAGTGGATGCTAAAATTTGGCATATAAGGTCTCAGCACCACCATGAAATTCTGTTTACTTAACCAACGCGGACTTTGGTTTCGCAAGGACAAAAGCGACAGCGACGTGCCTGGCCCCTGCGGCGGGATTTTTCTCCATCGGGGAATTAGCCCTTACAGCTGGGCTTTTTTTCCTTCCTTTTTTTTTTTTTTTTCTTTTGATGAAGCTCTTGGTGTGTTACATGCAGTCCTCACGTGTCAGCAAAGAAACGTCTCGGTGAACCCCCATTTCCCAAATGCATTTTAACATGCACACACAAGTAGACGCGCGTAGGCGCTACAGAGGGAAAAGCATCTCTCCCAAGGTGATACTTGCTTGCTTGGTTTCAAACCGAAAGCCTGGGCCTGCCCATGCCTAGCCTGCGTGGTACTGACGCGTCACCGCCTACGGATGGACGGGTCTAGGGCCGAGCAGCCAAGATTTAGGGTGAATTCTGTAGATGATGGTAAACAGATGTGGGATGCTAGAGGATGCAGATGTCTGTGAGCCTGGCGAATACCAGCGTCGGGATGACCGTCCCAAGTAGGCCATCTTCAGCTGTCTTCCTCCTCCACTGCGCCGTCATCGTGCCTGAAGTGCACCCGGGGGTCTTCTCATGTATACACGTACACACCCGCGCACACACCCACGTTCCAAAAGAAATAATTTGAACGATACCGCGTAGGAAATCAACAACATGAATACAATCAGCATCTGTCCACTGACGTCGGTAGCCGGTCAGTATTTCGCTTACCACCGTTACATTTAAGACTCTTCCTAGATCACAAGAGATTTAAGTTACATCCCGTCTCCTTCACAGTAAAGTTAGATTACTTATTAAAAAAAAAAAAAAAATTAACATAACCCTAAGTAGAACAGACGCTTCAGAGTAGAAGGTGTTAATCAAACTGATCCAGCCCTATGCCATGTCCTGGAGATTGTGGTGTGGTGTTGTGGTTTTGTTTTTGTTTTCTTTTTTTGTAAAAATCACATTATATACGGTACAATACATTTTTTTACAGAAAGCCTGGCATCTAGAAATAAGAGGTAGAACTACTCATAACTATATGTTTCCTGCTGCAGGAAAAATTCATTTTTCTTTACAGTAATTAAAAAAAGGTTAAAAAAATTGACAAAAAAAAGTCGTAGGTTAGGCCCCCATAATTTAAACAAAATAATCTAGGAAAATAACACTCTTCAATGTACCTGACGGATTAAGTCCATTAAAGTGTTTCTTTAAAAAAAATTGCATAGGAAAGGGACATTTCAAAACACATGCTACAACGATGGCAATGGTTTGTCTGTGCTGGGAGTGAAGTACCTTTTCCTTTTCCTTCCTGTGTTAACTACAAGTACAGGCTTTAAGAGCGAGTTAGCATTAGCAGCACTTTCCAGCATCTTCAAGCAGTGTGAGCAAGACATCGAATTAGCCTGGAGGTCAGCTTTGTTCTGCCAGATGACAAACAGACAAACACCGATTCACAACTAAAGCAATGCCAGCTCCTCTGACATCTCCCACAGGTATGATACGATATCCTTAATACTTCTGCCCTCTGCTCGCAAATGAGAGAGATGCGTGCGTGTCGAAGCGACAGAGAAGGCAAAACGAGTCTTGGTCAGCGTGGGAAAATCGGGTGAGGAGGGATCAGAGGAGTTCTGCAGGGGCAAGGGTGGCGGGGCAGCGCGGGATGTCTCATTTACCTATGCAGGTGGGGAGCAGAGAGCGTTTTAATATTTGGCTAGTGACAAAATAAATTCCATAGAAGATTTAACAGACAGACAAATTACAAAGTAGTTTCTGTTCCCTTGCTCCTCCAGAAATAACCATTGTCTTCAGGCTCAAGTTCTATTCTAATTTGAGGCACAACTTTTACTGGAGTTCGTGGAGGGCTGCGAAGAAAAAGAAAGACAAGGTAAGCGTGGGGACTACCTCCAGGCTTCTCAGTCCCTCTTAACGTGGTCTGCCGTGCTCGGGACTTCTGCTAGCACAGCTTCCCAGGGACCAAATCCCGAAAAAAAAAAAATTATCTACAACTTGCAAGAGCAAACCAGCATTCTGCAAACAAAACAGAGGGGCAACTGGCGTAAACTGGGAAAACTGCAGCTCCTGGGACTTACTGGGACACCCAACAGACAGCGTCACATCTAGAAATGGAACAAACGCTCGACTCCCAGTATCGGTTCCTGGCATTAGCTCATACAATACAGCTTTCTGAACCTGGCCGCATATAGATACCGAGGAAATAACCGTGGCAGGCAGCGGTAATATGCAGCTGGTCTTCAGATAAGGCCCGTACATCACGTAAGATAATTTTAATGAGTTGGTCTAAACGCTGGTCACGTCGGGAGGTAAAAGCACCGATTTCACCGACTGAGGAGCCCCAAGTATCCAGCACTTGTGCTCCACACCAAGCTGCGGCAACACTCTCAAACTGCCTTTGAAATAATCGGGTTATAGCCACTGAGATTAATGTCTCACACTCTCTAACACCTGGAAGTGTAGGCACTTGTTTGACATTTCAGAGGACTATTGCCGCCTTGGTCTAGATCCGACTCCTGGCGCTGGGAGGTCCAAGGTGGCCCCAAGGGGCTGAGCCGGGGCTGAGCTCTGAGAAATTGTTACTTAACTCTCCCTTGCTGCAATTTAAGGTTATTATTTACTCTGTTTTCCACCACAGACATGGAAAAATGTATTACTTCCTCTTTGCAACATCCTGTTACGTGACTGAAAGAAAGCATAACAGCAGTTTTCTCTCACTCTTTTTTTTTTTTTAGAAGGCTTAACAATCTCAATTAATTTACTTTTTCCCCTGTAGATGTGTTTTCTAGACTCCTCCCAGTTGCTCCTCATCTTTCTTCTGGTTTAGACCCCAAACCAGCCATCGGTACTGCAGCTGGGGTCTAACCGAGGCCGGTGGAGCCCTCCGGCTCCCCGTCCCAAGCACGGTAAGGCCGTGCTGGTAACCGACTTGGGATGCCGCCATCCTATGTAGGGAATTTTCTCAAAGTGCTTTTTAGGAGTTTCCTATAGGGGGACAGAAACTTTGCCTCGTTGGCTTTCAGTATAGCGAGAGGTAGCTTTTGAGGAATCATTACGAAGCGCATTTTTTGGGTGCTTACCTTGGCATGGTGTATGACCGAAGGAAAGGAATTGTATCAGCACGACGTATGGCGTTCAAGGAATGTTGGTGATTTTTCTCCTGTCGGAAAGGGAAGAAAGTCTTGTTTGTCACTGCCTGCAGCATCGATGGCTTCTCAAGCCCAGCCTCAGTTTCTCCAGTATACTCTCATCTATTTGGCAATGCTTTTTTACTGCTGCCTGCCTGCCAGATGAATTTCACAGCTTGTAAATAAAAAACCTGAATTTCTCTCTCTCTCCTCCAAGACAAAAACCTTTGGACCGCCAACACGACCAAAAGACTCATTTCCCAAGACTTTCACCACCTTTAGGTCTTGACACTTACCTTTTATCTACACCTCTTTAGTTACCCTGTGCTCCTCACTGTCGCACCCAAACTCCTTGTGAGAAAATAGGTGGCTTGTTGCCTGTAACGGCTTTCCTTCCCTGACCCAGCCTGGGCAAGTGTACTCTCTGTTAATAATAATCCTATTCTTGCTATTGCTGAAGGAAAGCTAATGCTGGTAGTATTACTAGAAATATACTTTGAATCACAGAGCAGTTATATTCAAGGACAATACCACAGTGTTGCTGGATTCCAGCTACTTTTTCTAGTCCAAGGGCCTGTTTTTTTTTTTTTTTTTGGGTTTTTTTAAATTGTTTCTAAATAAAAAACAGCAAACCAATTACTGGATTATAAAAATGTACAAATACGCATACCGGCTGCTGCTCGGCTCATGGCTGATTTACCCTGTGTTGTCTCAAAGGGCATTCCAACAAACAGGTTTGCGGCAGAATTAACTTTTCCCTAACTATTTCAGCCTTAAGGAGGTTGAAAACAGCGCATCTGATCATCAAATCCCGGGTAACAACACTTAGGATGCAATTTGGTTTTAGCACATCAGGGCATTTTCACAGAAAAATGAGGAGGATCTGTTTGGTTGTCCGAGGCTGATTCCCCTCTTTTTCTTTTCCTTATCAGCGAAACACTGAGAATACCTAAATAGTCATGGAAACGTCTCTTTCTCTTTGGCTTTGTTTTATAATGCCCATCTCTAAGTGCTCCTGTAGCTAAAAACCACAGAGCAATGTTTAGGATTGCCTAAGGTATCTAAATGCCACCGAAAGGCAAGGGACTTCAGTACCAGCTCTTAAATGATAGTTTAAGGATCTAAACGTCCGCGGGTTTAGGTCCTACTCCTAGAAATCACCAGCCCTGCAGCAGTACTAATTTATTACTATCATTCGTATTTCTCCCCTCCCGTCCCATGAAAAAACAGCAGATTCATCTCCGGGTGGCACCCATTGCTCACAGTATTTTAAAAAACCCAGCGCAAAGGCAAAAAAGCTAAGGTCAGTTGTTATTCCCGATTCCCCACTTAAAAGACCACAATATGAAAAGTGAGAATGACTGAAAATGAAGATCATAATAATCAATTACTGATATTAACGTAAGAAATTAAAAAGAAACAGGATACCACAAAAGCAAATCACCTACGAAGGGAAATACGTTAATGGTCAACTGATCACTGCCTTGTCAGTTTAATGCGCAATGCGGATCAATGACACGCTTAATTACTCTTTTAAGCGCTGATTTTTGCAACTGCTTGGCACCTAAGGAAACAAACAGTAACGGGACAGCGATGCAGTTTAGACATGCTGCAAATCCAGAACAGTAGGCTCAGAGGGAAAAAATAAATCAAACCAGCAGCAGAGTTAACACAAAATGGGAAAGGTCAGAAAAGAGAGGAGGAGGGAGTGAGTGGCCAAGAGACCTGTTAGTAGCTGGATAAAAGCGCTTAAGCTGGAGGCACCAGAAGGAACAACATCGATTTTGTAACCAGCAAAGAAAAACGCTCACAAAACCAAAATCTGTCATAAATCAGGGGCCTGGAAATTAAAAAAGAGAAAAAAAGAACAAGAAAAAGTACTTCTCAAGTCATAGGAAAGGTTTGGTTGTTTTTTTTTTTAAAAAAAAATCACTCAATATATATATTTGTACTGCATATATATTTTTGTACTGCAAGTCAGAGTCAAGCAGGCATGCAAGAGGTTAGTTCTACTCACTGTCGGCAGGTTTGCTATCACTTAGGAAAGGTTCCTGCTCCATGATGTCCATTGGTATTTTAATACTTGGGACTTTTTCTGAGTAGGGGCAGTCAGACTGTGAAAGAAACGTGTAAAAGGTCTTAGAATATTATCACTGCTCTCTCTCTTATCGTCTCCCACAAATTAAAATTATCCTTCATATAGTTTCTGTAGGAATGAGGAAAAGAAAAGAAGAAAAAATAAAAAAGCATCGTCCAGCTTAGTTGCCTGCTGGTTTCCACTGGTTCCCCACTGCACCCCACTTTCCCTCTTCCTTCACACTGTGAAAGTAAAACAGATTGAAAGAATAACCTCGTGTAATCGTCATCTTCCCTTTCCCCACCTCACCAGCTCCTTTGCCACCAGCTGATAAGACACCATCCAATTCAGCCTGGAGTTGGCTGCAGGAAATACAGATGCAAAACGCATTCGTAGGCAGAAATAGCAGGGCATTGGCTTCTGTGAAAGCTCATCAAAACGTTTTATCCTGCTGTGATTTCTGTAAAACCCCTTTTTTCTTCCCAATTGCTCTACGAGGACGAGGGTCCGACACGATATGGCAGAGGTGCCTTAAGCTGGACTGTGTCAACTCCCCCTTTTATTTAAGTGGAGTCAAACCCAGTCTCAATTACACCTCTATTTACAGTCAAATAGTTCATCAAAACCAGGGCCCTTGTAAGAATTCAGTACTCCCAGCCAGACAGGAGAAGCAGGGAACCCGTCAAGAGGCGGCACGGGCGCAGAGAAAAGCCGTACGCGGGGTCCCCCGGAGTTCGGGTACCAGCATGATTTATACCCCACTGGCTTCAATAATCCACCTGCTTATGCTCAGTAGAAGGTACTTTGAATTATTTTGCTTTTTTAAAATAAAAGTAACTTCTCATAACCAAGGAAAGGCTGATATTGCATAACTTGGCAAAGGAAGTAAGGTGGTATTTGCCAGAAACGCTAACGCAGCTTTGTTCCTGGAGAGAACTAGAGACAGCACCGAGCATAACGCTGGGGTGGAGGGAGGGAGACCTTCAAGTCAAGGCAGGAAAACATTACAGAGGCCAGAGAATCGCTCTCCCTGTATTATTATTATTTTTTTAAATTATTTTTTAACATACAGCACTGGATGTCAGTTATTTCATACTCCAATAGCAAAACGTTTCTTCAGGAGTATTTTTACGAGGCTGAGGGATAAGCATAGCTCAAATAAAGATGATTCCGCACAAAAGCACTGAGGCAATAAAGCCATCCCAAAATCCCCATCCGTTTGGGGCCATGCTGTAAGCAGCGCCCAAGAGCTGGGTGACCGCTCCAACGTATCACCATTTCAGTGCTAATAAATAAATGTAAGAGGGCTGTGGAACGGCAGTGCTGACGCTCAGGGTCTGCTTTAAACTTCACCATCTAAAATGAACAGAGAGACAGAGAAAGTATCTGCAGTTGGCAAAAATGCCCCGAAGGGGAGAAAAGACCAGTCCACAGCACATCTGACTCTGAAACTAGATACGCTAGCCCAAGGTTCTTCTAAAAAAATTGGCTGGCCTCTCTCGGATCGTGCATTTTTTGGACACAAAATCGGAGAGAAAACCAAGGCGCTTGAGTTTTCATTAGGCAAACGCAGCAATTAGTTGCACTGATTCATACTTTGTAGAGACAAGCTGGAGGGAAAAACGGTGAGATTACTGAAAATCTTTCTTTGCAGCTCCTTTTTCGCTGCCCCGATTGTTAGCAAACCCCCAGCGAGAACTTTAGGTGAGTCCTAACTAGTGCTGAGAGCGGTCTCCACTAATGCCAGGCCTTGCCGTAGTCATTCATCTAACAGCACTTGCATTAGCAACGCCCAGCAGTTCTCTTTGCTGAACTCTGATCGGTGTATAGCCCCCCAGATCCCACAGGACTAACTTTGTGGGGACATATTTCTGGATGGGAAAGGGTGTAAGTTATCAAACCAATAATGCCAAGTGCTTTACGTTCAGGAAGCTGGTAAAAGCAAGTGCTGAAAAAAACCCAAGAAGAGGTAAGAAGCAACATTTTGCATAAATTCTCTTACCCATTAGATCAATTACTGTACCCGAAATTCATGAAAAGCCTGAGAAGAGAGGAGATAGCTTAAAACATACCGGAGACAGGGGAGCCTTGGCTCAGGATACGGCGCTGCTGGATTCAAATCAGTCAAGAGGAGGGGATGGAGTCAAACCTTTGCTGACTATTCGCTATGTACAGTAGGGCGTTTTCTCTCATTTTGGTTTGCACAAAGTTATCTGCTGAAGGAAACCCTCGCCCTCGGCCTCCCAGGAACTGGAGGAATGACGGGAAAGGGGAGCTTGCTGTCTGAAATAAGAGCCAATCTTCCCAGCTGGGATTCAGCTTGATTTAACAAGGCGTGGATCCAGGCTACCTCCTACAATGCTGCACCCTCACCTAAGAAATTCCCAGTTTCGTCTCTTGCAGCGTACGTGCCCTACTTTGGACAGCGTATGTTATTTATAGAAAGGCCTCGGCATACCTTCTCATCGGAATAGCCTGACTTTGTTGTCTCTAACACAGATCTGCAGAGCTGTTATATAGCTCTCACACAAAGGACTCGGGTTCTAGCTTGTCCTCCACCAGGACTGAGGTTGCCTTTTCCGTCCTCCCAACCTTGAGCAAGATCAGGCATCGGGATGGTCTGGGGGAACTCCTGGAGCTGCCGTTTTCCCCTTGGTGTATTATCTAACCCACAAGGAGGGCTGGTTTGGTACATCTGCTCAGCGCGGAAAGGATGCAGACGATACCCGGCAGAAACCCCCCAAACACAGTGAGGCACAACAACCCCGCAGCACCCGTGACCCTCCAGTTTGGTGGCCGTGGTGCCACCTTCAGGCTTTGCTGCAAGAAGCTCTCCGGGCAGACACACTGACCCAGCAGCTGCTTCTTGGGGAGGTCGTCCTTACCCACTTCATATCAACTGAGAAGGCCAGGGACCAAGCGGACCAACAACTGGTGCCGCTGCCGCTCTGCCATACCGCTGCAGTTCAAAACTTGGGGCCTGCAGGGCAGTGACCTGGGCAGGAGTGCTCGAGAAAGGGCCAGCTGACTTTTCCTGCTGCCTGCCTCCTCCCGGAGTACCATTCCTTCTCCTTTGTTCCTCCTGCCGTGTTAAAAGGGGATTTTTTTCCAGCTTCAGGTGATCTTACCCCTGCCTACGTCACAGGAAAAGCCCTTCTTCATGAACGCTGGACGGTTACATGAGCAGAAGAAGTGACACTGTGCTTAGTACTCTCCACGTAGCCTAAAATTGTTAAAGCCCAGCTCCCTTTTCACACTGCAAAAAGGTAATGCTGACCGAGGCGGCCAGCTCTCCAAAGGCAGTTCACACTTTGCTATACGAAGTGCTATATAACCAGCGTGTTTAGCACTTCAGTATAAATTTATAGGATTTGAGTTCATGCTGGACCTGGGTAGGAGAACGTTTAAAGGCACGAGGACTACATTTCTTCTTCTTATATAGACAGTAAAAAATAGAACAGTCTAAGGCACGTGGATCTGGTCTAGTCAGGTCACCGCGCTTAGTAATGACACAAGCAGCTACGTTTAGGGCATGCTGCAACCTGAGGTAGGACCAAAGAGTATACTGCAGAAGGGCATGAATGCCTTGGAAATATTTAGGTCATGAGTATTATCACCAAAAAGCAGTCTTTCCTGCGATATGACAAGTCACATCTTTCTGTGCTTTTAGAAAAGGTAATTAAAAAAAAAATCAAAAAAGAAAACCAGAATATATTCAGAAGTAACAGAGCTGCTGGCGAAACCCGTTCTCGTCCTAAAATGTAAAAGACAATGACGGGGAAGAAAGGCGGAGGAGGGAAAGATGAACAAGGCAGGGTGATGAAAGGCATTCTAGTAAAGGGCATGACATTTCAGCAGGTATCTAGTGCTCTTGTGGGAAGTGTGATGTCATTCTTGGCAATGCCAGTACCACCTACCACAGCCTGGTGACGTCTGGAAAAGGGAAGGCAATGTAGAAAAGAAGTTTTGTTTGGGGCCGATCTGCTGCAGCAGCAAAAGACTGAGCTGGTCAGCTTCGAAAGAGGCTGGGAAAGCCCCAGCCCCAGAGCTGGGGAGGGGCATGGACCGTCCCCCGGGATTAGCTAGCTAGAAATGAGTGATTTGACTAGAGCAGAAAGCTCCTTACATCATCATTGTCACTGTCCATACTGCCCTTCTTCTTCTTCTTCTTCTTCTCGTCCTCCTTCTTTTTCTTGTCCTTTTCTGGAATGACGTCGTCAAGAAAGCTTAAGTCATGCTGGGAGAAGAGGTAGTCCATGGCTTTTCTGACTGCTACAAGTGCCAGGATCTGAAAAGGCAGAGAGGGACTTCTCAGTCACATTTTACCTTTAATTGGGAACGCTCCGCGCATTCCTCTTGATGCTGCTTCTTAATCCCACACACTTTAATTCTGGTTGTAAATGCACACAGAGAGAACAAGGTGAACCCCTGGGATATCTCTATCAACTTGAAAGTCTGAACCGTGATTGCTTCACGTCAGAATAAACAGGAGCAACGTACAGGAAAAAGTATGTAATCACTTAAGTCCTGCAGAGACAAAGGTCATCTTTAACACCCAACTGACAGGCATCAGGCAAAATAATAGACAAAAAAATGAGTATTTTCATTTATTTTTGGATTCAGCCTACATATGCAGGTTCACAGGGGCAGCCTGGGTAATTGTCTTTACTTTTTTCTCACCACTTCCCCAGACGTTAAGAACTCTCCAGAAATTAGACTAGGGCCAAACTGTGCCCTCAGAGTTTGCAGAATAAAGTTTACTAGGATTGTGGCTGCGTGAAACTGGGGGAAAAACTTTTTCTGTGCAAGACTGCACTCAAAGGCACTGGGAAAAAAAGAAGGGACATGTCTGAAATAGGTGTTTATATCGACGCTGGGTTTAACACCACCACCAGATGCCTACCGAGATCACATGTACGCTTTATCAAAGGGGACACCGACAGACTGAAAGCTCGACTTGGCTACTAAAAGATACAACCCATTCCCGACAACTGAAGATTGCCTTTACGATGAAGAGGTTGTTCCGAGCGATCAACGGCACAAACAATTCCTAGGGAAGGTTCTCAAGCTTTGACTTGCGTAACTTAAGATGTGATTAGAGAAGTAAGAAATTACTCAGGGGGTGGAAAGATGCCATGTAGCCACCCACGATTATCCCATTATGAATTACTTCTGTATTTAAAGTGCTTTTCCTTCAAATAAACAGAGGTTTGGCTATTGACCGGATCTTCACAAATTGCAAGTTTGTAGTCTTTTTCTTCATGAGTGCAAAGAATTGAGGTTTTGTCATCAGATCCAGCTACATCTAAGCTGCGACTGTACCTTCACCGAGTTTGCACCATTATAACAAATTTCAGCAGACTTGGGGTTCACTCAGATTGTCTCTATTACGGGGAAAGAGAAAGAGTGCCCAGATCTTAGATTCAGCTTTTAACAGCAGTACAACACAGCCATGAAAATGCAATGGAATGGTGTGTCAGTGGGAACTGCTGATTTTTAGCGCCTTTATATATGAGCATGTGTCCCAGCAAGGACATTTGGAGGATTTTTTTTTTACTTGCATCATCTTTTCTCTTCTCATCTCACCAGCATCAGAGAACAAACGCTTGTCCTTGTTCTGTTTTCTGCTTTCACTCCTCCTCTCCCTTAAATAAGCACTGCAGTTTGTAACTGCACCCACAACTGAAATTTTACTTGTCTGTAAACCTAAAACTAGGTGGCTTTGGGCCCGGATTTCTTAAGAGAGTTTCATAAAGCTTTGACTTTGCAGCAGTCTGACCCATCTCCAAGCCAGAGACCAGACTTGGCAGAATCTCTGTGCGTGCAGCTATGGCCCCACTGGATCCACGCTCAAGCCATTTGGCCCTACGGCCACCTTCCTCCCAACTGTTCCAGCTGAGCTACAGGTCAAGGCACGGAGGTGGAGAAGGATCTGCTCCGTGCTCCCTCACTTAGGATCCATGGTCACAGGTTTCGATGCCTGAGGCAAAGCGCGCGTATAAACTCCCGTTAACACTTGTTTGTTTTTTTATCTGGCATAAGTGCCTAATTGTGTTATGGTTATAATAATCTAAATGCACAGAAAGCTGTTTCGCTATTCCCGTTCCTTGATGTAGAAATACTATATCAGACTGACTGCGCAGTGTACGTTTAAGAAACAGTTGTTCTGTGTGATGAACATTTTATCTCTCAACATCCAAAATAAGTTTTAACATGACTCTGAGATGCATTATTAGAAAGAGGACATGCATCCTACAAACTGACATATCATCCTCAAATCAATCCTCAAAACACATGAATCAACATTATTGTCTTTTTACTTAAGTTCAAGGAAAAAGACATTCTTTCTTTTGCTCTCGATTTAGCTAATCCTTTCCCTCCATTTGGCACACCTCTTAGCAGTGAGCCTCATTCTCTGTTTTGTCAATTTGTGCTATTTAAAAGCAAGGGAGACATTTTCTGTACAGTAATTAGTGTGGACTGAAAAAGGAAAACTATGCACCTCTCATTCGTTCATGCAGCTCAAGGAGAAAACACGGCAAATCTAACCTTGGAAGCCAGGAACGGTCAAAACTAACTACACCTTTCTGGAAAAAAATTAACTTTCCAGGCTCGTTTTCCTCCAGAGGATTTATGTAAAGGCAGCCACAGCAACACTGACCCCGCGCAGTCTTACATCAGTGCTATGAATGGAGGCAGAGCCTCGAGCTAGGGATTTGACAGGGAGAGGCTGGATTTGCCTGTTTATGGGAGGGTATGACCGTGCGTGGAAGGCGCAGGCTGCGAAACGCGAAGGAGAAAGTCACCTACCATGACAGGGAATATGATAGCAGCCACGGTCGACTTGAGGATCCAGAGGAGGGCCAGGCACACCACCTGCAGGAAGGTGAACAGATGGACCCTGCGCAGCGGGACATGGCGCAGGTAGATAAAGTCAGGCTGGTGTTTTAGCGGCATCAAGAGCAGCTTCAGACGATCCATGAACTGGAAAGGAAAAGAAACAGACATTTAAATGAAACCCAGGATACACAAAAAAGAGAGACAAAAGCATTATTGCACTCTGAAGTGTGACCTTGAATCAACTTGCTTCCCTTCCGTAAAAGAAACCCAGTCGAAAACCCAGCACAGCTCCTCTATCCTGACTGACTTAGGCTTGACCCAGGGTGGGCTAAACATGTTAGCTCAGCTGTCTCAAGCGAAGGTCCTGGGTCTACTCTGTATTTTGCAACTAAACAGAGACACAGGAGCGAAGCATCTCTCAAAGCAAGGCCTTGAGGTGCCTCTATTTTAAGGAGCAGGACTCCATGTGCTCTGGTGATCAGCGTGTAAACCAAGGAACGAAGGCATCAGTGGAAATTCCTCCACTGGCTTCAAAAGAATGGGCCTGATACGCTGCGGCTGTGGACACAGGGAATTTTCTCTTGAAGGGAGCACTTCATTACCCACAAAACAGAGAAAACAACATGAATGCCCCAACTACGGTCAGCATCACACTCTGGGTCGCTTCTGCCACCCTCCCCTGCCCCGCTCCTGCCAAGGAAAGAGATGCAGCATTTAAAAACAATGCTTTTTTTTCCCCAAAAAATTGGGAGCGGAGGTCAACAGAGGTGAGGGCAGACATCACGTTACCAGAGAACAGAAAGGCACTTTTCTCTTGAAGGGAGCACTTCATTACCCACAAAACAGAGAAAACAACATGAATGCCCCAACTACGGTCAGCATCACACTCTGGGTCGCTTCTGCCACCCTCCCCTGCCCCGCTCCTGCCAAGGAAAGAGATGCAGCATTTAAAAACAATGCTTTTTTTTCCCCAAAAAAATTGGGAGCGGAGGTCAACAGAGGTGAGGGCAGACATCACGTTACCAGAGAACAGAAAGGCACCTCACCGAAGAGTGAGGAAGACAGGCAGCTTTTCCGGCAGCGTCCCTTGCCCCGTGCTGGACGGGATGGACTTGGAGTTAAACCAAAATCGGGATTTCTCATCGACTGAAAGACACCCTTCATCAGGGGGAAACAAGCTGCCCAGTCCCCTGACCACCTGGGCCGGGAAGCAAGGGGAGATCCCCTGCAGGAGAACCAACCCCAGGGCGAACATCACAATCCCCTCGTTGTCCCCTGCCTGAACGCGGGCTTGCTGCCCGCTGCTGAGACCAGATTGATCTCACACCAGTGAATGAAAGCCGGGGCCGTTTTAAAGAATACCCAAGGAAATTCTCATGGTGCTCACAGAACAGGCAGTATTTTCCCGTTAGAGCACAACCAAGCGCTAAAAAGAAAGGCCACAATTACTAGGATGCCAGGAAGCAACAAAACCGCTTCCAGCTTCCTAGGGCCAATTACAGACACTGCGCTGTGAGAAAGGCTCCTTACGTAGCATTTCCTCAATGACAAAGAAAGGGGCTTGGCTTCCCCTCCCCGGCGAACAGCAATGTTCCCGCTCGTTAAACATTGCAGAATAACCCCGCCGCCATAAATCATCTTCCCTTGTTTTCCTTCAGCCTGCAACAGACGCCCCGGCCCCGAACCATCCCGGGAGCGAGCCTGGGGCCTCTGCAAGCGTACGCTGCCCTCAGCATCGCCGAGCTCGGGGGGTGGGGGGGGGGAGATGGACCCCAGGTCTTCACAAAGCACCCCCCGTCGCTTACAGGCCCCGGGCTTGGCTGCTCTCCCGCCGAGCAGATCGCTCCCCTTTGGTCTCAATCTCAGGACAGCCAGCCGGCGGCAATGCTTGTAAACAGCTGCTACCCTCCCCGGGTTTCTTGGGGAGGAGGAGGAGGCGGTGAGGGAGGAGGGAAAGGCTGGAGGGTTGTGAAAGAAACCCCGCGCTGGTTAACGATTGCCGTCTTCTGGAGAAGGCCCCGCAGGGAGTCTGCTCCCGGCCGTTGGAGGGACTCACCTGCACGCCATTGAGGGAAGCGACACCCATGTAGAGGAAGACGCCGTAGAGCACAGGCATGGGAATGAACTGCGGGGGAAAGAGCAGGAGAAACTGGGTGAACGACCTCCCCATACACAATACACCGGTAACACGTGGGGGGACATAATTCCTAGCCTGTGATCAACTCGAATTGCACCTACGAGTGGACAATGCAGTATAATAAAGCGAGCAATCCTTCTGCTGTGTTTTGAGAGCCGCAAGAACATTTGTGCAATCACTGGAGGGCTGAGGAGCAGGGCAGGGGCCGAACGAGCCCTGGGCTCTCCCACTTCACTGGGACTTGGACGTCTCTCCAAGAACCGAAGGGAACGTAGCCAGCCAGTGCCAGTCAGTCAGCAAATTAAAGGAGAGGCGGGGTAAACGTGTTCCAGTAAGCTTCAAACTGCTTTTCACCTCTTGGTTTCTGGTGAGACTAGAAGCAGCAGTTAGAGAAGAAGAAAAGGCAGCGTGATCCTGTGGTATGTCCAGATCAGTAAGCCGTGCAAATCCGTCCAGAAAGGTTCTTGAGTCCCACCTCAGCGAAGACAGTCATGCCAGCCAAATCTCTGACCACCCCATCTTTCGCTCACATCAGTCCGTAACTATCACAAATACAGGACTGTGAGTTACCTTTGCTCACTGCCAGGATCTGTCCTTTCAAACATCAATTTCTGCTCCCCCAAGTGCTAAGCGCCGCCCATTCCTCCATCACTGGTCCCGCCATCGGGGACATCTTCCTTCGGAAGCGAGGAAGGCGCATGGTAACAACATACATGCTCCCCAGAAGGGCTATCTGTCCCTCTGACCTGAAGCACGAAGCTTTCCTCAACGGCAAAAGCCACCGCGCGGCTGCCAGGAGGGGGAAGCGCTCCTCGGCCCCACAACACAACTGTGCGCAGCCAGCGTGGCGTGACGTGAATGGGCACAAACCACGCGCAGGAGCTGAATAACGGCCTCTGTGTGACTTATTTGAAGCCGAGAGGGACGGAAGGAGCTCTGCCGCCGTCGCCGGAGGAAAGCCTTCGTGCAGTGACGGGCGGCGGCCACTGAACGGCAGCCGCAGGACAGCCACGGCTCCCACGCAACCTGCGGCCAGCACTGCTGCTGTAGGAACGTTTGTCTTCCGACCTGTGCATGTAACTCATTAAAGAGGCAAATAACACGGCAGTTATTCAGTGTTTTATCGTATTCCTCACCACATTATTAATCGTTTACTGGGTCAGAAACATAGTGCCATGCATGTATCCCTGGAGGCCTTGATCCCGAATGCGTGCCTTTCACTCGGGGCACGGGAGCACCAAAGTCACCGGGCCACGTGCCATGCGAGACCAAAGCTTCCCTGCCTACATTTTTCCCTTCCCTCCCCTGACTCTCATTCCCTATCACCTTCTGCGAGCTTCTTGATTGCTAATTCATCCTTCTATTGGATTTATTTGCTCCCTTGAGCGAGCTGCGTTGATATTTCACATTAAAAGCCAAATGTTTTTTCCGCAGTTTTTTTTTTCTGCCGTCACCGTGCGCTGTCGTGGGGAGGGACGGGGAGCCGGCGTGTGGTTCCCCACCCCATAGCTGTGGGTGTCCAAGGGATTCAAAGCCCTCACTGGGTCTGAGGGATTAGATGAGACAAGATAGTATCTCCTCCGGCAAGTTGGGTAGGAGGCTTTCAGAGTTTAGCTTTCTAGTTCATTTCCATTGCTCTCTTCTCCTCCCCTTTTATCTCTTTCTGGTTTTCAAAAAACAAAGAAAAACGTCCAAATATTATTTCACCATTCCGCGATAATTAATCCTGTAAATCATCCCTAGGTGAAACTTCAGTACATTATCCTGCAGAGTAGCAAGCGGCGCTTTCATTTTGGAAGACTTTCTTTTGGCAAAGCATTCATTAACTATGGGGTTGCTGGCTGAGGCACTCTGAGCAACCCTGCTGCTAGCCAAGAGAATTAAAAATGTATTTATAGGAAAGTGCCTGTCATTCTCCTAGCAGGGCTGAGGATGTTTCTGTGGAGATCTGCCATAACTGAGCAGAAACATCAGTGACGTTCAAAACCAGCACAAACACCACAAAACCCACAAAAAACAAAGATGAGATTATTCTGTGGATTGCCTGTTTTATTGAATTTGGGATCGTTAGTGTTCAGTTTGCCGCTGGCATGGGAAGACTTAAATGTTCTGCAATGCATTTAGCAAAGCAGTTCTCTCGAGCAGGAGACCCTGCCACTGGAGTTTGTTAAAGGTCCTGAAACGCTGCCAGGTACTTCTCGCTGGCACGTGGGCGAGGAGTGTGCTGATTTATCCTCAGGCGCCCTCCCGTGAGGATCTTCCCCATACACGTTCTTAGGGGAAGCACAAATAATTAATGAATGAAGCAATAACAGGGGAAATAATAGACCCCGGTGGAATAGAGGAAGAGAGATCTTGCAGGGAAAGGTCACATAAACTAACAAACAGAATTATTACAATCAGGCATTAAATTAAGGGCATGGAAATGCCTGTTTGTGCAGAGGAGGAAACTGTTACCAAGACACAAAAATTTGCTGGTTGTAAAAACAACCTTAGAAATCAAGAATAGGAACACACTGACTTTGTAAAGCCACTTTCTCCACCATATAACACAGGCAGCACCATTGCTCTCTGCCCGCCTCCTCCCCTTCAGGCTCACATCTAACTGTGCCTCACAGCCCCTGCGGCTTCCAACCTCCTCATGACCAATAACTCAATTGCATCCTCCGGAAACGCTTCTCCAGACACCCGTCTGCTCCGTCACAGAGTTGCGATGCGTGGTGCCACTGTTTCACTACGGATATTACTGTTCTGACATCTTCTGCTCGTACCATCGGTCTACGCATCCACGGAGATGGACTGCTGCAGCTGACGTCTCCTGTGGCACAGGCAGTATCCTCCACAAGACACGGATAAGCAGGTTTTCCAGTTTCGTTCTACAACCTGGTGATCCACTAAGGATGCGTTTCTCTGTGGCTACGTGCCAACAAACCTCAGGTCTTGGAAAATAGCTACCTACCTAGATTAAATGGTACATCAGCAGCACATCTGTCCAGAGCCTTGGCTAAACTCACAAAAAAAAAAATTCAGGTGATTAAGAAATCACATTTAATCGCACTGCTTCCTCCAGAAACACGTTTTCCATATTGCTGAGCTGGGCATCGCTTCTGAGCGATAACAGATGTGCTATTTTAGGAGGATCCAGCCTGAAAGAGTGAAAATTTGATTGTTGTGCTAGCTTTTTAAAAAAAAAAAAAAAAAAAGCGCCCCGCTCAGAAGATTGTTACCTTCTGAATAGTGACTGGCACCGCTGAGGTGTGCGCCTCGGCAGCTGCACCAGGCAGGGTACAGCTCCGCTACGGCAGTCGCAACGGTCCCAAAGATTTTTGGCCAAAACTGTAGCCATGGACTAATACCATCAGCTGTAGGCTCTGCTCATGGCCACCAGTTCTGCGTATCCTCTCTCACCAAAAACACCTCCTCGCAGTGGGCCATGCGCACAGCCTATGAGTAAGCACCAAATGAAGATTTTCTTCAGGCGTATGTGTTAAGATGGGTGCACGCTCAAATAAATGCAAATGTACTTTTAAAACTACATATCCATCGGTTAACCTGTGTCTTCCACACAGCAACTCTACGGCAGTGCCAGCCATCCTTAGATCATGCCACCAGTAGGCTCTCAAGCTTTATCCGCAATATATTTTCCATAAAACACAGGCACAGCAGAAGCGTAGGAGTGCAAAATAAAAGGAAACTTTATGCAAACATGGAAGAAAAATCTTAAAATGAAAAATATCACAGCCCCCAAGACCACCAGCGCTGAACTTTGTCACTATTACTATCTAGCGCACTACAACAAAGCTATTTTTTCCTTCCAAAAGGTTTGTATTTAAGCTTCCAGAAAACTGTAAAACTGCCATCAGTAATTCTCACTAATCTCCTTTTCCACACTTCAACGATGAGCTTTTTTAGCAGCACAAAAATAGCCTGACAGTTGCTGTGGCCCTACTTTGGCTGTGGGAGCAGGAGGAAGCAGAAAAGGCGATGTCCTTACCTTGAGGATGGGAGCCATAAAGACAGACACACCTGTCAGAATGAAAACGATGAATCCGGTGACTCTCTGCTCCCTGAAACAAAATCACCGGGTGAGCGGGATGGCTTCAGCTTTCGCTCTGGATTTATTCCCTCTCAGCGTACTCAAACCCAGCATAAAGCCTGACAACTCGTTTTTGCAGCCACATTTTCAAAGCAGACTGGCGATTACAACAGCATCAGGCAGGTATCTTGATCCTGACCAGCCTCATACACCTCTTTTTTCAAACACCAGATGAGTTTTTGTATGCTGCCTTAGCTCCGCTGTTTGTGGGCCAACAGAATACTGCTACTGAGTAAGGAGAAGTGTGTTTACATGTTAAACATTACAAACCATTAACTAGCAATCCAAATTCTCTGCACGGCCACATTTACAGCATGCAAATAGGTAACAAATCATTAGCTCTCCACTCTTAGATTAGATATTTTGAGTCCTCATCATAGTACTCCAGCAGTTGGATAAATGGTCCAGGTCTTTGTGGCGTGCTGAACATGTGCCTCCATCGGCACCCACAGCCACTCCCTATAGCCAAACATACTTTTGCCAGTAATACTCCAGAGCACTGAAAGTTAGGCCATTAAATTTCTAGTTAGTCACCTAAACAAGTGGCCTGATTTCCAGAAGTGCTCCTATTGAAAGCACTTCAGACCACTTAATTAAGGCAACCAAATAGAGAAAAAATTGTTTGATTAAGTAGAGCCGATTGCTCGATGCATGACAGGTTTACGCTTTTTAACCATTACGTTTGCTAATGAATGCCTGTCTAATTTCCATGGATAAAGAAATCTGCAGTAAATTTATCTCCTTTCTCAAGCACTGGAATACTGCGTCTGATCTGGCTGAATAAACTTTTGAGGAGTTACATGGGGATTTGTCCAAGGAATTGCCAGAGACCTGCACTGCTAAATCTCACAGCTGGGTTTGGAAATACGAAGGAAGCAGCACAAAATTCTTCATGACAAATCTGCAGCGTCCCACGGGCACCAGAGCTCGCTCTGTAAAGCTTTGGGTATTTTGGGGTGACTTCAACGTGCATGCCCAAAGCAGAGCGAGAAATGGTCTCAGCTCCGGTGCGAAGTTTCCTTCCTTTCCTCCCTTTGCTCCCACCCGTTCGCACAGGCTCTCCCCCGTCTACAGGCACGCACGTAGTACCACAGTCTTGTTCCTTTTCAAGAAAGAGCATTTGCAAAAGGGCTACGCCAGATAAAGTTCTAACTGCGTATATCCTCTGCGGACAAAAAAAAGCTGTAAGGAAGCACAGCTGATCTGAAGATTTACAGCAAATCTAAGAGCTATTCCCCCTGAACCTCTGCACGTGCCCTGCTCGAAGCAAGACCATTTATAGTACAAACTGATCTTTGCAGGCAAACGAGGCAGTTAAGGCCTTTCTGGTTTGACATACCTCACTCCCAAAAACTTGGGCTGTTCTCCAGGGGCTGAAGTTTCCGTCTCCATCTTCAAGCTGTCAATATGAGCAATGGAGATCACGGTAGCAGCAACGTACCAGGGCAGACCCATAAAGGAGCATATGATCATCAGAATGGCCACCCAGAACAAATCCAGATGATATCCAGCACCTTTCTGCGAAGGGAGACAGACAACCTTCAGCTTAATTATTCTAAATACCTACGGAACGGCCAGGGCTCTGGCCCGGGCGCAGAGGCACACCAAACAAGCAGCGTTTCCTTCTACAGCATCTTTTGGCCAACAGAAATCGTCGTAAGAAATAGCAGAGTAGGACACATTGCTCCTTACAGGATGAATTACCTGTCTCCGCAGGGAAGACTGCTAAGTGTTACAGTTCTGGCAAGCTCTGAAAACAACAGCATACAGTAAGCACAGGAGAGCAGCACACGTGCAAGCAGTCTGGCACAAGACCAAGCACCTTGTGTACACTACATAGTGCTTGGAAGTTGAGTTGGTACAAGCCAAGCCCTGCGACCAGTCAAATAGCTCTTTACAGAGGTACTTGACACAGCAGACTGCGAGTTAAAGAAAATCAGAGAGCACCACCTTCACCAAAACATATTTGGCGAGACACACATCGTATCTTGTAAACAGTATAAGCAAGCTCTCCATATGTATCTCTCTATTTTTTTAATATACACACACACGTCTGTATCTTGGTTATAACGGGTTTACAGCGTTCTGAAGGAGCTCTGCATTGCCTCTTAAAAAACAAAAATGAAACCCCATTATGAAGTGCTATTATTAGAATGATATATTCCCATTTTTTTTAATGAAGTAACACAGTGACAAGAAATCCAATGCCCAGCACCATCCCACCCCCCCGCTGCCTCCTCGCAGCACGTGCAAAAACACGACGGCCCGTTTTCACAGCACGAGACAGTTACGGCAGCAAGAGAGTTTGGAGAGGGTGAGCGGACGGAAGATTGTCTGCAAAGCAGGAGAGCGGCTTGCGACGCTGTGAGCTGTTTGTCATACGGCTCTGCTACGAGCGCACAGGACTTCTTCTGATGTGGTGGGAGGCCAAGATCGGTACCTTTGTGTGCCAAGTCATCTCACGTCTGTGTTAAGTGACAGGTTGGATGTGCACAGAGCTTTAAACACCCAAACCACCCTTTAAAACCAGCCCAAAGCCTAATTTTAGTTTTAAGCAGCTGTTGTAAAATAACTCTCAGAGTAATGACTTGATGAAGTCTACCTGAAAGCAATCGTACAGAAATATGGTGCCTGCCTAAAGGTCACATTTGCCATTTGCTGTCTCAGAGCGAGATCTGAACTCCTACGTTTAGCATAGGAAGCAACTGCGAGGTCTCACAGTCGGGCCTTCACAACTGGTCTGAGCCCTGCTGATCGTGCCTGGTGCTGGAGGCATCCTCCTCAACACCCAACCCTAGGCTCTCTTGGGGAAAGCGACAAGAACAGCTGATGGGCTCACACCCTATCGAAAGGAGAAAGCTGCCCTCGCTCTTTACTCCTTTTTAAAGACCTCCGATCTTCTATTTTTTAAATCCCTTAATGAACTAACACAGGAAATCAGCCAGTCACAAGTGCCAAGAGAAGAAGTGAAGAAACAAAAGAGCCACCAAAGAGAGGGATCTTCAGAAAAACACTAGACAAATCCCTAAGGTTTGCTATTTTAAAGAAGGTTAACCTTTTTTTAATCCTGTTCAATTTGATTTTATTGGAAAGAACAAATGATCCAGACCTACTTGGTGACCCAGGAGGGAAAGCAACCCAAGCTTGTCTTGAATAGTCCTCATTGTTTTCCTCACGCGTGCGCTGCTTACCCTGGCTGGCCGACAGCACCGGGACGGGCACTCAGTGACACCCTGCCAACACTTCAGCAAGGCACTAGCAGAAAATAACCTGTCCATCTTTGGCCAACAGCAGGTTGTGTGTACGGAGGTGTTTTTTGGTGCAGAGTAGCAGGATTGGACTCGAGAACCCCCAATTAAACAAAAGCATGTGCTCACAACCATAACAAAGGAAGCAGGAAATAAATTTTTTATATTAAACGGTACTTTGCCGGAGTGTTTATACTTTGTTACTAAACAAGTACACCCAGTGCTGATAGCATAACCACGTTCAGTGCCCGTAAGCTGAAGAGATGAGGGGCCTCTTCTTCATGAGGGAAGAACAGTGAACACGTTCCTTCCGGTGATTAAGAAAATGATATGTCTGCTTAGTTAGGCGCAGGAGACAGACCTAAAACTGAGACCATGTCAATGATTAGCCTCCCCCCGAGGAAGATGTGGGCACAGTATTGAGTATATCTGCCCAGATCCAGATGGCAAAAAGCGATATTCTGAGGTTGTTTTTTTTTTTTTTTTAAACCATCCCTGTAGGACCATCAGCCAGCACTCAGCACTGCGCAAAACAAACCTTTCCCATTCCCTGTTACTCTGACTTTCTCCTCCAGGTCAGGCTCAGGACAGTCTTAAATCACACGTCGGTTGTCTAATGTCCACAGCGACCGTATGAACTGAAACATCCTCCTCTTTTTCAAGTAAAAGCTCCATTCACGTTTCCCACAGCCCTCTATATAACTGATAACGCAGGTATCTAAATAACGACCCAGCATTACCCGTGTTTTGAGGGAGTCTTTGCTCTCACGGGTAAGACCACTTGAAACGTGTCCCGTTAACAGGAAGGGAGAGTAATCTTTTACAGGAATTTAATATTTTTCAATAGAACTGACCGTGCAGGGAAAGCAAAAACCCTACAGGCATGAAAAACTGCATAGCGCTGGTCTGGAAAGTTTATTTTAAAAACATTACTACATTCTAGATATAAAGCTCTTCTTTCAATAACATCTAACCGTGGCTATGCCCTTGGTATGCCCCAAATCTCTTCAGCTTATTGCTTGTATTTTACAGCACTATACAGCCAACACAGCTGTCGTACTTGGGCCCTCTCTGGCCATACCCATCACAGGTAGGGTTCTGCGATCGCCCCGGCACCCCAAAACTTCCTTCGGAACGGCTGACAGCCACACCGACGTGCCATGCCCGCTCAGGGGTGGCTGTGACACAAAGAGACCTTGTTCTGCCGATGGCTGGGACCATCTGCCAGCGACCATCTTACATGACAAACACAGTAATAGGGGCTTGTCAGATCCAGAGAACTTTGCCCGTTGTGATAAGGTGCGAGAGATTTTTGGCTTGGATGCAATAACGCAGTGCTGTGCAAATTAAAATTAGGTCCCGGCTCAGGTTAAAGCAGAGCTCCTGAGAGAGGAGCTCACAGCCTCTCCCCACCGCAAGCCTGAGCTCCCAAAAATGGGCACTCTCTGCAGATCTGTGCATGACCTGGTAGACCCACTCTGGCCACCCTCGTTTTCCTTTCCATGCTGATGCATCAGATTCATAAAGTATCCCCTTATAGCCTATGACAGAAGTGAAGGAAGAAAGCCGACCACAATCACAAAGCAACTTTCTCTCCTTAAAACAGCAGCAGATGATAGGGAATAGGCCTGTGTCTTTGAGGGAGGAAACTGGTAGGAGGAAAATTAGATGTTAAGACTAAATTTGATGCTAGAGGAGAGGTTTGAGTTAGCCGGACTTGAGTCTGGGACTAGTTTCTCTAGAAAACTAGAGTCTGTGAAGTGAATGGCCATTTGGAAGCACCAGCACGACCAAAACCCAGCCGTTTTGCACACCAGCTGTAAGGCAGCGAGCGATCAGACCCTTCTGCTGGCCCCAATCATCTTCCTGAATGCCTTGTTGAATAAAATGCCAGACAGAACGTCTGCCAAGCATCCTCACTGGAAAGCATCCTATCCTTCCTAGATGTTCCTTAACATCAGACCTGGGGACTTGTTTTGAGGCAATGAACAGTTTTGGTAGTATGTACAACCACGTTTGCCAGGTGTAGTGGACAGCATGCGTTTCCCCTACACAAGCAAACATTGGGAATGATGGACATCAGTTTCTTACTGCGTTTAATTTAACGATTTCTTATCTCCTGCTGGAAAAGCAGAGCACGCCAGATGGACACGTGAAGCGGACAAGCATGTAACTTTATGTTTGTGGATAGACACGCACCCTCTTTCCTTTTCTAATTCTTCAAATGGCGGAGTCTTGCAGAATTACCAAGGCAAACGACACCTCTGGCGTCAGGGCTAGTAGATTCTGAAACGCACTTCATCCAGCCCTCTACTAAGGTGGACAGCACTACTACCACGAATAGAATTGCAGGGGCAGCAAGGTTATGAAGGCAGCTAGATGTTGTTTGCATCAGTATTCTTTACAAGACAAGCTTTGACTAGCCTGTACTTGGAAGTTTCCTTTGCCATTCTCCCGTGTTTACAGCTGGAGAGTGAAGCTCTTGCAAGGAAAGATCAAATTATTGTAAAGATTTTAAGAAACTTTTTGGTTTTACGTTGACATGAAAAGGGGCTTTCAACAAAAGTTCTGCCCCTCAAAGGAGGGCTGCTCTGATTTCTTCTGGCTGCAGCCACATCTTTGCCAGATGAGCAGAGGGTAGGATGTGACGGGTGTAAGTCCTTTCCTTCCCCTAGAAGGGAAGGGGTAGCTGGCTGGTTTTGTGAAATCCGACTACTCCTGGCATGGGACCTGTTTGTGAAGGAAAAGGGAGGAGCAATCCCAAAGCTTCGCATGTGGAAATGCTCCAGGCCACACGATGGTGAAGCCAATCAAAATTACCAAGTGCTTACTGAACGAGACATTGCGAGTTGGCCCTGCACAGGGTTCTTGCTTTAGGAGGAAGGCAAATGCTGTTTGCGCAACGCTCAAGATTTTCAACTGAATCAGCGGTTTTCCTGGCAAAAACTACGTTAGTCAACAAAATAAACATTGTTGTTAAACACTAGCAATGACGTTTCTGAGGTGGCACGTACGCTTAACGCTGCCACGGGCCCTCCTCCATCTCTAGCACAGAAAAAGCACCGGGCAGCTCTCTGCACCCACCTTGAGCTTGTGCTCCTTCCTGTTGACGATGACGGCTGTGATTTGCTGGTCCATGAAGATGAGGATAGTCACCAGTAGTGCAGGGATGGCTGCTGCCAGGTACACCCACCACGGGTTCCCTCCAAAAGGTGGGATAAACCAACCCCTCTCGGGACTGGTTGGCTTTTAAGGGCAAGGAAAGGAAAGCTTGCATTAGAGCCGCAGTATAGGAGTGACGACATCCTAAATACACTTGTACTTCCAGCAGTGGGGCTACAGGGAGACACCTGAGGTTTGCGACAATTATATCCTCCCCATGAACAGCAACAAAAGGTTCAAAGTATGGAGGCAGGATTTAGGGGGTAAATCAGCCAACCAAAATGATGCTAAGAAAAAGGATGCCATCTGAGTAAAACGGTCCTTTCCAGACAGCTGACTGCTCTCCTGTTCTGAGGGCAAGTCATTTTATACAGGGCAGATGGGTGGAAAAGGGAACCTCTTCCAAAGGCCACCAAACAAGCTGACAATGACATACCTTGAATTCACTTGGCACAATTAGTTTTGGTGTGTCCACACCTACCAGGGCATCTATTCCACAGAAAATCAAAATGGACAAGATAATGGCAAAGTCACTGATGAGCTTCCGGGCCTGAAACAGAAGTTGATACCATAACAGTAGTTAGCACTAAGAAACACCATTTCACCCATGCTTTAGTTTCTCTGTGATACTCCAGGCTTGCGTTTGGTGGCAATACGAGCTCATCATTTCTTCTTTCGTAGAAACAAAGGTGCGCATTGTCATGCCTGGTGCCATTTGCCTAAATGCGCCTTGGTACTTTACTGCGCTGTCTGAAAGCCAAACAATTAAGCCTAAATGGAAGTATGAAAACAAGCCTAAGGAAAAAGAAAACTGCTTTTGTAAGAAACTCCCACATGAATTCTTCAAGGCAGTCTCACTGATGTTATGTTCGACAGCAGCCAACAACCACTGGCATGGAGACCTAGTTCCTCTGCAGCAGTGTCTGAAGAGACTTTTACAGGATCAGCTTCCAATATTAACAGATATTGACCATGTACAAATAAACCTAAAAAAAAGTGACTTTTTTAGACATATAAAATATTGTCTCCTTCTGTTTGCCTTCTGATCTCTGATTCTTTAGGGTCCACATATTCACATTTTTATATGCAGGGCTGGAGACTGCTTTTTTGACACAAGTCGAGCTTCTCGTGTTATCACAGGATTCCTAAGGTACGTGGCTTTAACAAAATAATACTGTGTTATCCCCAGACTCCATTCTTTTAATGAGTGATTTTGCAATGCAGATTAAAAAAAAAATGGGAAAGGGAAGAAATGGTATTTTACACCAGACAATGGAAACAGTCACAAACTTCCCTTTAGAAGATGGGAAGACCCAAACTTCCACGACAGATGAGATGTTCTGTACGACTGGCAGAGACTACATTGTTTTCTGTTCAAGTAATAAATCAACGTAAACAGAGCGGAAAACAAACCAGGCTTCTCAGCTAAATCCTCAACATACCCTAAGAGCGCAACTCTACTGAAGTCATCGGAATACGACAACTTAAAGCCGCCACTGGTCAGACCCCGAAATTTAACTGGGCAGGACCCACTGTGCTTGTCTGTAACCATGTGATCTTTTCAGAGCTGTCGTTCCTTCCAGGTTTCCTGGGTTCACATGCTTACAGATGAATTGAGCTGCATTCCAGCTCGGATGGAATTTGTTTCCTTTTGATTAAAAATAATAGAGGTTCAATTGTAACACAGCACAACAGTAAACATCCATGCAGGATAAATCCTCGTGCGTCAGAACGCCAAAAAAAGGAGGGGGCGGGGGCAGGTCTCAGAGAGAAACATGGCTTTGGTACACACGGAAACCGCCAGCTCGCACACGTGTCGTGGTAACTTTAGCTGGGGAGGCAAAACAAGCAGATGCACCTGAGAGGTGCATATAAGCTGGCTGTAAGTCTGAGCAAAGCCTTGTTTAAATCAATGCAGAGGATTTTCAGGTCATCCTTGTTTTGCATCTGATCCTCAGAGAAGAAAGGGAATTTCTGCTTTAGGTCCCTACCGTAACAGGTAGACCAGACGTGGACTGTAGTGGAGTTCAACATTTTTGCATTGATTTCTGATTATTTCAAACGCTACGTGGTAACACCAAAGATGCGTCTCCCTTCTCCTGTTCTACATGGACAGCTCGCTTACCTGCTTTTACTCAGTGACAAAGCAAAGGGCTTCTTTTGTCCTTCCCAAATACTCCCTCTGGCTATAAGCAGGAAGACTTCTGACATAACGATTAATGGCCCCTTTTGGTCATTTGGTCTCCGTAGAATGGCCACGCACCCTACCCCAGAGTCAGAACATCACATTAAGCTGTGTACCTGACACTGAAAATGGCCGGCTGAAACTATATATGCCTGAAGGACTCTTCTGATTTCTTAAGGCTGATGAACTACATCATTGTGTATCTCAGCTTGGAAATGTTGTCGTCAGTACCTTGAAAATCACTGCCACATCCCCACGACAGATTATGGCTCATTTTGGCTCTTCTGCTGCCTTACCCGTACCTTCCAGAAACACTGAGAGAGTGAAAACAAAGCAATCCCAGACATACCTGGGTTAACCAGTACCACGTTTCTCAACCAATGCAACCTGGCTTCCCTGCAAAGCATTTCTCCCCGTGTGTGTGACAGCTATACCAAAAGGAAGGCTGATCTTTGCACTCTGAAAGAGTAAAGAAACAGACTGCTAGGGTGAAAGGAGATACTTACAGTGGTTGGAAAATAGCGGCTGGTCTTGAACTTCTTCAGGGCCATGGAGCAGGTGTAAGTGCCAAAAAAGAGGATGAAAGACATGAGGGTGATGTCAGGGACGTAGCTGCAGTTGTTGCCCACAAGTTGTCCTCCGTATTTCAAGCACTCCTTCGTTGTCAGAGATGACCAGTCAATGGTGGTGTTGTACTGCAGAACAAAGGAGAACATTTCCATAAAGCCGTGCTCATGCAAACACTGCTCGTGCCAGGACAGGAACGGGGACAGAGCATCAGGAAAAATACTGGGAGGAAAAGGCAGGCACGGAGCGGAGGCTAAAAATTCCTGTGCTTGTGCGCAGACAGAATGGATTTTAACCCGGACAGAGGATGATATTACCTGGGAACTGAGGACAGGCTGGGCCTCGGAAAGAAGACTGAGATCTTTTGACCTCTGCTCCGCATTTTCTCCAGTGGAAGGGCAATGTTGGAAACCTCATGCAGAAGCTGGAGTGGCCTGAGACCACCTCTACATCCACTCCCCACTGCTCGGTTCACTGCAAGCAACACCAAACCCAAACCTGCTTCTTTCGGATCAAGACCAGCACTGTTTCCACAGCAGAACATCTCCCTCCTTGCCCTTTCTAGAAACAAGGTTTGAGCTCGCCTAATGCCCACTGGCGTCAGGAGGCTTCTGCACACACAGCCCCGCGCCACACTGCAGTTACCGGGTGTCCTTCTGGCGTGCTCTGAGCACCTCCACCACGCAGTGCCAACTGCCCCGGGCTAAAGGATGGTGTGCTACGCTGGTGAAGGCTGAGTAACCACGCACAGGACACAGCCCTGCTACTGAACGAGCCCATCGGGTCTTGCGGTGCTCACAGAGTTCAGCTCTGGGATCCTCCCGTGTATCTTGTAAAAGCCATCCGTTTATCAGTGCCCGCAGAATGCCGGACATGCAAAGAACAAGCCGGCACATACTGTAAATATTCAATGTTAATTGTGCTCCTCCACACAGCTGGAGTTACCAAAATCCCCTCTGTTTTACAGACAAGCAGTCAGAAGGATGCCGAGGTTCAGCTTCCCTCTCTGCTATACCCCTGCAGAGCGCTCCGGCCCCAGCGCACCCCAGCCTGCCTTCCCCGGGGCACTGAAGCAGCGCAGTGGCAGAGCAGGACTCTGCCGAGCTGGGAAAACCTGCCCGTAGCTGCGGAGATGTCCTAGAGCACCAGCTCACCCGCTGGGGCTGAACGCAACACCCCCAAATACAATGGTTTCCCTTGACTTCAGCAAGAGCTGAGGGTCTCTTCCCCACAGCCTTGCCAAATAAGAACCTGCATTTGAATTTCCTTTAATTCCTTCCGTTCTCATTTGAATACCTCGTTACTAGTGACGACTGACTGCGACGGCCAAACAGGGAGGCACTATTTGGATTTCAACTCTCACTGTGGAACCCAGAGCCGCACAGGACGTGTTAGATGATCATCTGTTTCCTAATGCTTGTGGCGAAGCAGAGCCCGAGGAAAGGGCTTTTCCCCTCCCTGCCCTGCATAATTCATAATCACGTCAGTGCGGGGACGAGGACAGAACAAATCCAAATGCACGAGAGGCCAAGAACATAAACGTGCATATAGCAGCGAGCTCGCGAGGCTATTCCAGGTGTGCACAGCGAGCACTGCCTGAGGGGAGAGTGAGAATGCAGAGAGTATATGCTAACACCAAGAAAAATTGTATTCTCAGGTACCTACAAAATTCTGTCAGTCTGGGGAGTTTTAGAATCACATTGTCTCTGCTCCTCCTTTTCTGCATGAAAACCCCAATGAAGGAAACCATAGTCCTGGGAACCATGACATCAGAGAGAAAGGATGTTTTAAAATAACTCAAAATTAATAAATCCATAGAGAGGAAAGAGTATTTTACTCCAAATAGTTAAGTTATAGAGAACTTATCACAAACGTGGGCACAGACTAATTCAGATCAACAAGCAATTTACCAGAAAAAGGATGTTCTTTAGGCAAAAGTGCAAGGCACAAAATATCCTTTTGTTTATAAGTGACATTTTCAAGTAGGAGGACACCCCCCCCCCATTATATTAGAAATCTTGAGAATACGTAAGGTACTCGCTGCAGGCAAAAGGTTCATGGCCTCATGTTGCATCTGTTAGTATCTTGTTCATGTGTGTACATTGAAAAATACATCACATATGTCTCCAAACTGGATGCTTATAAAGTTGTGGTCTGAAGCTGCATGTAATAAACTGCAGCTTCCTCAGCAAATGTTGTGAATCCCAAGAGCTTAACTGAGGCATGATTTTGCTGACACTGATGGGGGTTTCGGGGAAAAAAATGCAACAACAAAATCCCCAGCTCTGTGTTGTTGTTTGACAAGGTGTTGCCACATTTGCGCTCTCAGCACCGTCTCTCTCCGCGGCATCAACAGCAGCACTTTGTCCCTCATCAGGAGGATTTCTGCAGATCTGCCCCGACTGCTGACTTCGGGATGGCAACAGAGGGGAGGGTGAACGTGGCTTTCAAAGCAGGGAGATAAACTAAACCCCAAATATTTGGGGGCGTATTTCACATTTTGCGATTTTACATCTACAGAAATAAGCACCGGAGCGCGTTCAATAGGTACGATTACCACTTGGGGTATCAGAGAGCAGAAAGAAGAGGGCATCTCTCTTCTTTGGGAGACGCCCCGATGTGATCTTGCTTCGTCCCCCTGCCAACTGCCTGGCAGGTTTTGTACCGGGGATGCTCTTCCCATACCCAAAATCCTTGTCATGTGTCCCCAGACATTTGTTTTGCTTTGAAACTCTGAGGCATCCAAAAAGGGGCCTGGAAACACAGCTAAGCTCTGCGCCCTGGGCTGGCTCCCGTGGTGGGGACCAGGGCTAAGGCAGAGCATCCTATGGGGTGAGAGCATGGGCCCCGGGCTCTTTCCAAAAATGAGGCAGAGAGACAGACTGACGGGCGTCCCCTCCGGCCCCACCGCGTTGCAGGCAGGGTACTGCAAAGCAGGGTTTTGGGGGAGGAGGGCTGAGACGCCGAGATGACTGTTCCAGGAAAGGACAGCCTGCAAACGCCAACTCGTTGGGTTGTTTTCATGTCTCCAGGCCTCGGTTCAGTTCTTCGCCTTCCTCTTAGGCATGCCTCCCTTCTCCCGAGACTGACACTCAAATGCTAAACCCACAAAAAACCTGAGAAGAGTTGTTCTTGCTAACTGCACAGAAGTGGCAACGCACACTCTTCTCCTGACGGGTGGACGTAGGTGTCCTGACGGCTGGCGCTGTATCGGAGCTGGGGGCTGCTCATCACTTCCCCAAGCGTTATTTTCTGTGGCGGGCAGCTGAACAAGGAGGCCCTCAATTCCAGCCCTTCCAGAGGTAGCCAACTCAGACGCTCAGGGACCGCTGCCAGCTGACAGAGGTGGGGCAGTGAAGGAGGCAAGGGGCAGTGAAGGGCACACGAGGTGCAGCCTAGCCATCGGGAGACCTCGCTTCTATTTCTTCACCCTGCGACCGACCCCCTCGGGGACCTTGGCCAACGCTCTTGCCTTCAGGTTCGCGTCTCGCGCTCCTAGTGCCTGCTGACAGCGTGCCCAGCTCAGAAACCATTCCCTTTCTGCTGGGCCACTTGATGCCACCCAAGAGTGGCCACCACATGGAAAGAAACACCGACAGGTAGGATCGGTATTCTTCAGCAGAAAGCTGTTACCCTGTGTCACAACTTATTTCCCCTGCATCAAACACAAATGTACCCGACCCCATCAATCTCCATTTCTTTCTCCTCATCATCCAAAGCTCACCACCGGCGTGAAATGTGGAAAAGCCAGGGCTAGCTACAGAAAAATCAAAGAACGGGATGGAAACAGGACCTTCCAAAGGCAGGGCTGGCCACAACACCCCTACCGTTACAGCCCTGGACACAAGGATCTGACTCATCCCCTGGGAGAACCATTTGCATCCTGCCAACACACACCGATCAGACCGCAAGAAAGTGGCCGCTATTAGCAAGTAATTAATATTACCAAATTGTGCGCACAGTATTCCGTATGCAGTACCACAAGAAATCCTTGGAGGACCAAGTGAGCATGCCGAAAGGAGCAGTGTCACATTTTCACAGTGTCACGGGCAACGGGGGAGTGTCAGCGTGAGGGTTTTCTTCACACGATCAATTCCTCATCTATTGGCACAGCCCCGTTCAAAGACCAGATAATGCCCGCCCTCGCAAAGGGCACTTACCCTCTCAGCAGAGGAATAGAACAGCTCATCGATTGACGGCACCGTCGTCCCGTTAAACAACGAGCTATTAACTGCAAGAGAGGACAGAAAAAGGAATACCGTGAGCTAGGAAGGAAAGCAAATTTCAACTGTTAAATCATTCGTTAACTCCATCAAACTGTTTGCAATCTCTTTGCTCAAGTAAAGTGAGTCAAAAGTATTGTTTCAGAGTGACCCAAAAGCATCAATCATCAATCACTTAAAAAACGGAAAGAAAAGGCTAAGTGAAACATAATTCAAACCTAACTGGGTTTTTTTTGGAGTTCATTGTAAAAAAAAAAAAAAAAAACCCAAGAAAACCAGACAGACAATATAATATTTCATGGTTTTGCATTATTTTTCTAACAATTTCTGGATTAAAATAAATATCCACAGAACACTCCTAATTATTAATTTAAAATCAATGCACAACCCCAAAGACATCCAGAAAAGCAAAATGCATTTCAGAATCCAGCACAAACACATTTTTTTGAGTTAAAAAAAAAAAGATAGAGTAATTGAAATCAACAGGATGGAGATAATTTCTTTGAAAAAAGGGGCAGTGTTCACTGTGACAATGATACATGTCTTCCTTTTGTTTTCATGGGATTAGATATCATTTATTTGAAATTTCATTTAGAAATGCAATCCTTCCTGAAAATAGGCTCGTCAACTATGTCCTCATGTTTTATTTAGGTTTCACATGTACTTTTATGTCTGATAAGAATGTTTATGTTGTATTAAAATATTGCAAAGCTCACATTTGTTTAGCTGGAGGAAGAGTAAGTGCATTTGTCTTTTACACTACTGAAATCATACTAGGGTCTAAATAAGTACTAGGACATCTTTATACGTAGGCAATCCTTCCTGGGCCTTTGACAAGTAAGATCTCGTGACTCTTGGCCGAGACATGGATTTTGCTGTGCCTCGAAGCATTATTGCAGATTTTGCTGCCAGCATCTTCCTCACGATGGCAGGGACCTCTCTGGAAAGGCCAGGTACGGAAACGCCCGCGCATCCCGAGCGGGCAGCCCGCTCCGTCACCCCGAGGGCAACGCCTGAGCGCGGAAACTGCGCCGCGCTGCAAGCCACGCTGCGAGGACGGAGCTGAGCCTGTAAAACAATGCAATCCTTTTCTCGAGAGGTCAAGTTGGAGAAGAGACAGCAAATGTCTCTCAGAGTGCTTTATGTTCTTTTCCTAGCATCTCCAATCACGTCCAAACTTGGTAGGCTTGACGGATGAGGTAAAAGGCCTTTCGGACGGAGCAGCTTGTCCCCTCCGAGCAGAAACATGCAAGGCGGCTGGTTCAACAAGGGTCTTCGCACTGTCACGTCAGTACCCAAAAACTGCACGGAGCAGAGAGCAGCAAACTGCAATCTTCTAGACCTGCGAGTCCGCTCCGCTGCGGCTGTCGAGCCCCCTCGGTGTCAAGCACACCGCCCTAACGCTTTGCTTTTGGCTAAACAGATGCTACACGGATGCTATTGCTCCTGAAAGTGGATGGAGCGTGGGTCTGGCTGCTGGTTTTGCCTTTTAACTTCTTGACCCACATTATGAAATGGTGCGTGTTAGCTCAGAGACACAGACCGGAGGCGCAAGGATCAAAGGGAAGTCCCCGCGGGACACACTAACTAATTATCACCAGAGCACGCACAAATCCTGCCGGTGATTTCAAAGGCGTTATTTTAAGGTCCTGCGGAAAGCGTGGTGGGGCTGGCGAGACGCTGCTCCCCGGCTTTCTGAGGCCCCTGCAAGTGGGAGCGTGGGCAGAGCCCAGCGCAGAAACCGAGCAATGCAAGCTAAGGGCTGATGCTGAAACTCTGGAGCCGAATCTTAATGGCACAGAGATGAAAACCAACAGTAGAAAGCCTGGATCAGAGTACGAGGGAAGAAGAGTCAGCTTCACCTGTGGCGTGACAAAAATCAGTAACGCTTTACCTGCACTTACTTTGGAAAAAAAACCCAAATCTCCTCCCCTCCCAGCACAACCCCTGACAGCTTATCAACCACTGCTTACAGCACCCCAACAGCAGCAGACATTATCTGCACTAGAGGAAAATCACTGGAAAGAAAGCACATGCTACCTCATTACGCTTCGTTTCCTAGAAGCAGGCATCCCCTTTTGCTCATCTGCCATGTGCACTTTTATTTTATTTATGCCACCTTGCAGAGGGCTTTAAAAAAATGCAGGACACGGAGAATAAGGCCACTCATGTTTAGTGAGCAAAACGTTACAGACTGACTCCCATTGCATGGCTATAAGCATGTACACAGAGCAAGGCACTATCTTTAAAAACTCTGAGCAAACTCCGAGAGGGTGTAGAGCCCCTTTGTGAAAGCAAAGGATAGAGCTTAGACTCTGTCCTGCTGTTGCTCGCTACTTTGCTGCTGATTTACTGCTGCGCGCTAAGAGAGAAAACCTCCTGTGTAGCTGTGATGAGCCTCTGATGTGGAAACCTGTTTATTTAAGGAGCAGGAATTAAATCTGTGCCGTCTTTTGCTTATGGATGCTGTCTGGGTTTATGCAGGGACACAGCACGTGCACGTATCGGTGTATTTCAGACCTAGGAAAGGCCAAACTGTCAGTGTCACGACTGACACGCTAGCAGCTATTTATCAGGCCACTTGTTCCTCTGGAAAACTCCCTGCTTCTGTGCATCAAATCCACCATGGAAGGACATGCCACCAAGCAAGGGATGAGAACAGCCGAAGGACCCAGCTAGTGCCACTTGCTCTGCCCGTACTGTCACCCCAGCCCTTGCTGTTTTACACACAGAAGCCTCAAATTATTTTTTGAGCTTGTCCTGGACTGAGTTTAAATATGGGGTCACTCTGTTAGCTGCTCCGTTCCCAGACAGTTTGCTGTTTCCAATCTTCTCCCTCAACTTCGGCAGCCTCTGAAACGCTGGCCTTCGTGCCCGAGGTGCCACAGACTCACGCAGATCTCTGCAGGAGAGCTTGGTGTGGCTGGAGCCCCGTCCCAGAGGGTTACCTGGACAGGCTGCTGTCTGGGCACTGGGTCTGTGCCGTAGGCGTTTAGATGGGAACTGGAGACTTGCAATTCGGCATTGACCATTCCCCATCGTCCTAACTCCAAAACAGAAAACACCCTGCCATTCAAACGGAAGCAGAACTAGACCAACATCCCACGTGCTTGCAGAGATCCTACATTTAATAACTAACGTAGGCACACAGCTCCTAGGGATCCAGTTCCCGACACCTTTTGCACAGAGGCAGCTAGCAGCAACCAGAAGCTTTTCTTGTTTGACAGGTATGTCGAGATAACCTGAAGTTTACTTCGAGCACAAACCAAATTTCTTACTCGCTCCTCATTGCTTGAAGGATCCTAGGAGTGGTCACAGCTTCCCTGATGGTACGAGCCAGCGTATGCCTGTGTGTGTATTTGGGTTTTGTAACCTTTTGTTCCCGGTTGTGTTGCCAGATCTATACGTATGCTGGCTACACCTGCCTTGCAGCCCACACTCTAGCGATAGGCTGAACCGTTGGATATCCTTCCCCTCCGCTCTAACGAGGAACTGTTTGTGATTTTCCACTCATGCATGCAGCCAGGAGGTGGAAATCCACCCATGTTTGGGTAACGCCCTGAATAAAGCCAACTCCTGCACTTGACAAAACGGCACAGCGGATACCAGGAGTGACCTGACCACCATGGCAGTGACCTGGCCACCTCCTCTGCCCCTCCACAGACTTCTCAGAGGAATGCCATTCAGAATTAACAGCCTCAGGGACGCAAGGAGACAAGGGTACAGAGACAGCTTCTCCACTGGTAATGATGCTCACATGAGGAGTCCCAGGAAGGTCGGCTATAAAGACATCGCAGTTGGTACGCAGGGTGAAATTCACCTCTCAGCTTCGATATAAGGCTAAGATAGGATATCTGAAGACAACTGATAAAGAAGGATTAATCTACCTGTTTATTATCTGGACTGCAGCACAACCGAAAAAGAAAGCAAATGCAATCTCCTATCTGCAAATTGGAGAGCTAACGAAACATTCTCTTACCTGGATCTAATGGTTCACAGGCACAAGAGTAATGCGTGATATAGTCCACCTTGAACTCGGAGTTGATCGGGTAATGATCTGCCAGCTTAATCATCTTCTTGAAAGCATCGTAGATGAAGATGAAGCTAATAAGGGAGGAAAAACCTTCTTCGGTGAAGCGGGTGAAGTACTTGACCAGGAAGCTGGCATCGGTAGCGACGAGAATGAGACACTGGAAGGCTGACCAAAGGCCGATCCAGAGACGAAACTCCAGGTAGTCAAAATCATTGTCTCTGCAACAAGACAGGGGTGGCAGGAAGGGAAAATATCGGGGTTAGATAAATCCACGCAGGATCGTGACTTCCCAGTGAGAAGTGGTGAACGCACAGCCTCTGGGACCTGTGCTCACTTAGACTCCGTGAGAGTCTTCCCAAGAGCTAAGCTCTCCGTTTTCAGCCAGCCAACTCCATAAATGTATGCGGTGCAGTTTAATAGCCGAGGTGGCAGAAAAGCATGCAGAAGTGATCGCCCTTGCTTACGCCTCCACTAATAAATGTTACCAGTGAATTCAAGCTCTTTCTACGCTTCCCAGTAAAACTCTTCCCTTGGCAGACACTCACAGAGCTGTAAAGGCCCAAACATCCAGCTGTCCAGACCAAGAGCAGCTCAACGCCGACAGCTTTCCACCAGCTGAAGACGTAACCACAGTTTACAAATCTCCTTCAAAAAAGCAATCTCCTGCCAAGCCTCACGCTCGGGAGACTGCATTTCCATCTCTCAGGCCCTTTGCACTCTCTGCAGAAATCAAAATGTCAGCAGGAGAAGATCAAGAAGTAGAAAGCAGAAGATGACAAACCCTGGTGCCAGGATGTGGCAGGCTGTGGGGAACGATGGACCGAACGGTATCGTTCCTTCCCGGGAAGTTTGTTTGCCCCTTGGTTGCTGCTCGAGGCTGCCGTGCCCTGACGGCGCAGAGTCCAAAGGCAGGCTTTTAGGACCTAACAGATGCAAAAAGCGAACACCAGAGCAGATAAGGCCCTGCCAGGGAGGTTACTGCCTGCTCCGGGGAAGGGAGCGGGAGGCGGTGGGGCCGGCTGCCCCAGCCAGCCCGCCTTCCCTGGAAGCCAGGAACCCTCCCCAGCCCAAGGAGAGAGGAGGAAGGGCAGTTTCTGTGGAAAGTCTCAGAGCAAAGTCTCTAACAGCGTCGAAAAGCTCTGGGGAGGGGATGGGGCCCAGGAGTTTATCCCTTCCTTCCCCCAACGACACCAAGTGCTGTAAGAAAAACTGAACGCCTCTCCCTGTGAGCCTGCCTTTAAATAAAAAGCAGCAAAAGCCGTCTTCGAGACACCTTAGGATTGCAGGCTACACCAGATAACCACCCACAGCTCTAAAACTTAATAGCAGAAAAGCATCTTCAAGTCCCGCTCCAAGGCACGAGGGAGAAGGAGACTGCTGGATTTGCCCTGCAGCACAATCCCTCCAGGCCTGTTTGCGGTGAGAGGACAGGCGTGGATCAGCATCGGCTCCTCCAGGGAACCGTGCGTGCCTCGGAGAGGGCTTAGCTCCTACTACCAGGGGCGGTTTTAGCTCAGCCGCAAAACACTCGGTAGGGTGCTTTTGCAACCTGGCAAAACTGGATGCCTTCAGAGCTGGCTACAGGCTGGTCCCACCATTTACTCAAGTCCCCGGTGCAGATGGACTCCCTCAAACCTTGCGTAGTAATACCGAAAAATGTCCTTGCATCTCCCATGTACCTCTTTTTACACACTATTTCCAGGAACACACGGTGCGCTGTTACACACCTCTACCCTTTGTCAGCATTCACCCAAAGGCGGCAAACTTCTGCAGCAATTTTGTACGGCGCACCCCAAGCACCTACCCCACCACCAGCAGAAATCCTGGCCAACGGAGGGGCTCGAGGGCAATTTTCTAGTGCATGGTATAAAACTGCCGAGTAGAGAACAAAAGAGCACCTCAACAGGGGGAACTACAACCTTGTGACTGTAAAATGGGAGAAAAGGCTGCAGACCAGGCAGGGCGCCAGTTAAAGGCTTGCTGCTGGGCAGCATCACGGATTTCTGTAAGGATCCTGGGTCGGATGTCAGGTAGGCTCAGACAGGGTCGGGCATCTGCTCTCAAACCAAGCCTCTGCCAGGCTCTCTTCTTACTGTAGATAAACATCTCAGGGAGGGCTGCAGCCTTCTCACACTGAGAGTCTGACCTGGAAGAGGGGTAAGGAGCAAGGAAGAAACAAAGTGATGATTTAGAAAAAGAGAAGGGGAAAAAAAAAAATAAATAAAAGACCCCAGTGACAGCTCTCTGAAATATCCAGAGTCAGTGCCTCAGAGAGCAGGAGCTGCCATCCATCTGACCAAGTGGGGAGAAGTCGGCTGGCAGAAGCCCAGACGGCATCCTGACGGCACACCACTGAAGAACTTCAAAAGGTTTTAAACTACTTTTTTTTTTTTTTTACCCCCTCAAAGTCCTGCAGCACTTCTGAAGCTCACAGAGCAAATGACAGAGCACAGGACATTTCACATACCCAATACAACAGGCTAAGTACTTTTGCCGTGATTCATTTTCTTTCTGAGGTCTCTGGAGCGGAAACTTTCCCAACAGCCCGTTTTTGCGGCTGGAAGGCAGAAGGGCTGGGGTCCTGCTTTCCTGGGGAGCCAGTGCCTCGCTTCCCGCTGCTTCCAGCTTGGAAACCCAGACTCATTTCACAACGGGCATCGGAGAGACTCTGCATGGGAGCAGAGTTCACCAGCCAGGATGCGAGATGACCCGAGGCGTCTTGTGGCATCGACCCACTCTGCCGGCAACGCGGCAAACGCCGCTCCTGCAGGCACCCAAAGCTGGATGCATGGCTGGGTACGAGCGGCTTTTTTAGGTAACTCTCCATACGCACACACACAGAGTCAGACTTTAAATGAATCGGTAGATGGGAAGCCTTTCCAATCTTGCTCCCAGCAGGGAACAGGGTGTTGTGAATATGAACAACCGCAAATGCATTATTGAAAAATCACAGTACTTGATTCCAATTTCCTTGTGAGAAAGACTCCCTGGAAAAATCCTGCCATTCTGCTCCAGCGGGTTGTTAGGACAATAGCTTTTATAACCACCACCTCCTCCTCGCGTTAAAAATAACCACCTTCTCCCTTCCAAAACCGTACAAAGTGTTTTTCCATCTTGCTTTTTTCCTTCCGTGTGCTGCACCTGGGCTTTGACCTGCCCGCCAGATGCAAACAGCTATAGCACGTCTATTCCTGATTTGATTCATTTATTCTAGTCGAAGAAAGAAAAGAAGGGTGCCCCCCCTCGCTCTGCTGTGGAGCTCTCACCAGTTGGCAGCTTCCAGTGTCCCTCCCCGGGCTAGCCTAATTTTCTGTCCATTTTTTCCAGCCTCCATCCCTCCCTGCCCATGCTCCAGTGGGGGGAAGAGACAGCTCAAAGTCCATCTCCTCTGCCCCTCTTTGGCAGGACGGAGCAGACCGTGCGGAGGAGAGCGGCAGTCCCAGGGCCAGGCAGGAGGGGACTGCATTGCTTTTGAAGGTGCACGTCGTCTCTCCACGGCATCCTCGACTCCAAGATGAACTTCTCCCCGGCTTGGCATGAATACGGCTCTGTCTAACAGCAGTCAGAGCGCGCCGAGAGGCCATTCAGGCTTCAAACCCAACAGTACCGATTATCAAATAACACCAACTTTGACAATGCAGGAGGAGAATCGGACCCTGCCCGTTTCATCCCGCCCTGCGCTATTTTCACAGACATGGCTCACACTGCCACAAGCGTTATCGAGTGAGTTCAGAAACCGAATGAAATCATCTCACTCCGAAAGAGTCCAGTGTAGCACTGTGTATGGGGGATTGCATGTAAATACACTGTCTGCCTTAGCAGAAGCTCTGTACCTCAAAAGACTTCTCCGACATGTAGGGTATTCACAGAAAAGACATGATTATATGCTCTCAATTATTTCTGAGTAACTGCCCACAGAGATTAAATATAATGAGGAAGCAGATACAATTAAACAACCAAACATACACCATGTCTCCTGCCTTATTGCAACCTGCAGCCATGTTCAGCTTAGTAATTCAATAGACCTTTTCTAAAAATAACCACCAACAGCCAAAGAGCTGTTCCACATCACAGGCGACTGCTTTTGAAAGAAAGCCTAGTAACGCCTTAACTCCAAAAGCTCTTGGGTTTGTGTACTGAAACAGAAGTCTTTCACAACTCGCAATGCTGTGAACACTCCCTGATGGGGGAAGGGAGGGCTACAAGTGATCTGGGGCGTTTTCTGTATAACCTAAAATTATCTCCTTGCAAAGAACGGTCCCAAGTATCAGTAGTCCTACATGTAAAAATCACCAAGGAATATGCCGAGTCCTTCAGGGATTCTCATTATATTTTGCCAGCATTGCAGATGCGGGAATAGCAAATGAGAACACCTAACAAAACGGGCTCCCTTCAGCTCTGGGCGTCAGCTATCGTCACTGCATCAACGTTAACGTGGTGGGGAGGGAGCAGAACCTCTTTATATCAGTTAAAAGGGAAAAAGCCCAAGAGCATTTAATGCAGCAAAGCTCCACCGAGGAAGTCTGGGGACAAACAGAGGTCGATAACTGTTTCGCTCATGGGTACTTTTGCTTTTGTAAATAGCAGCTATTATTTCAAATGAGTACTGATTTAAGGACAAATTTTTGGTAACCTTGAGACCTGCGGGATTTTGTTAGTGAAATCACCGAGACCTGGATTCCTTTCTTTGCTGCTACGGGAAATACACAGCAGCCAGGGAAACACATGCAGCAGCTGGGGAGGAACAGCACACTGACTGTAACTAGTGCAAACTTCTCATCGAGGACAGACGTGGCCAAGAATTTCCAAGAGGCCCCAAGGAGACACGCACCCACACACCGGGCAGCGCTCTGGGACATGCGTGCCTGTGAAAATCCCCGATGTGATTCCACTGCAATCTCAACAAGGAACAAAGAGATGTTTCATTTCATGCACTAAATCCCCTCCTTCCCCACCGCTAGCCATCTCATTCCCTAGCTAGTATTTCATTAGCGTAAGACATTCCTCCCCTTCTCCCTCCTCCACCCTTGTACTTACTTGCTGAAATTAAAGAGAAGCCGTTCAAAGACAAGGACAGGTCCTGTGCTGCTCAAAATTATGAGTGGCTGACCAGCAAAAAGGCAAAATATCGCACCGGTGACCGCTGTGCCCAGAAAGCTCTCCAACACACCCTACGGCAGACACAGGAGAGAAGTGAGTTCTACTGAATCACCCTTTCTATTAGCACTGTTGCAAGAAAATGAGTAGTTACATCAGTGACCGGGCGTGTGCTGTATGCCGACATGTCCAAGACCAAGGGAAGACCATCTTCTGCCCTCTCCTGCAGCTGCACACCAAGATGGGTTCGTCCCACACAATTCATAGTCACTCAGGATAACCAGCAACCCCCCCTTGTTATTTCTGAGGCCCAGAGTTTAATAACACTATATTGTATTTTATATTTCACACGGGGAGGAGAGCGTTTTCGAAGACCACTTAAAGGATTTGAGAACTCCTTGAACATCTCCCACATCTTTGACAGGAAAGATACATGTTCGCAGGGCTCTTCAAACAGACACGGCAGAGCATGGCTACAGGACAGCGCTGACATCCTCCAGGACAACGGAGGGTGGGGTTTTTTTTTCTTTCTCCAATTGAGCAGACACTCTAGATAAACAAGATGCCTCTCTTTCAAATAACTCTTTTAGTAAGTGAGACACAAACCAAACAAGGCTACTTCATCCAGCAGTCATGTGTTCAGACCCAAGTTCATCAGATGTCACCAGCAAGTAATAAATTCCATATTTAGCACCGGTGACCGCTGTGCCCAGAAAGCTCTCCAACACACCCTACGGCAGACACAGGAGAGAAGTGAGTTCTACTGAATCACCCTTTCTATTAGCACTGTTGCAAGAAAATGAGTAGTTACATCAGTGACCGGGCGCGTGCTGTATGCCGACATGTCCAAGACCAAGGGAAGACCATCTTCTGCCCTCTCCTGCAGCTGCACACCAAGATGGGTTCGTCCCACACAATTCATAGTCACTCAGGATAACCAGCAACCCCCCTTGTTATTTCTGAGGCCCAGAGTTTAATAACACTATATTGTATTTTATATTTGACACGGGGAGGAGAGCGTTTTCGAAGACCACTTAAAGGATTTGAGAACTCCTTGAACATCTCCCACATCTTTGACAGGAAAGATACACGTTCGCAGGGCTCTTCAAACAGACACGGCAGAGCATGGCTACAGGACAGCGCTGACATCCTCCAGGACAACGGAGGGTGGGGTTTTTTTTTCTTTCTCCAATTGAGCAGACACTCTAGATAAACAAGATGCCTCTCTTTCAAATAACTCTTTTAGTAAGTGAGACACAAACCAAACAAGGCTACTTCATCCAGCAGTCATGTGTTCAGACCCAAGTTCATCAGATGTCACCAGCAAGTAATAAATTCCATATTTAATGGGCTCTACAATTACCTTTGGCATGTGTGGCAAAACAGTTTCACTGGAGAAGGCTAAAAAAGCATGCTTGATGCATTCCAACTATAGCTGGACAATATCTACTTTTAAAATGCAAAATGTGGATGAAATATAAATGGCAATAAAATGTGATTATTGACTGAGCGTGCATCCTTCTACAAAAATGGCCCAATTCGCTGGACCTTACCTTGTTTGCTCTTACGGAAACTAACCTGTTTACGCTTGACTGAGTTTTAAAGGAACAACAAGAGCATCATCTTCTACCGAATAAGACGTGCAGCCGTCGGCATCGCCCTCTCCCGGAATACTTACCCAACAACCAGGGGCAGATTTAAGCATAGGCTTATGCGCTTCCTTGTAGCCGTGTCTGAATCAGCAGCCTCATTAATACTGCACGTGCCGAGCAACCAGCAATTAATGGCACATGCAGAACCTTCTTTCCCTCCGTGGTAAACTGCAGGGTTGGGGCTGCAGTTTTTCTGACTTATCAGTGGTAACGCGAAGAATTTAAGTTAAGTTTTGTGGCGCTCTTTCTTGGAAGGACCAAGTTACTGTTTACACTGAGGAAAGTATATTCATACTATCATATGTCAAACCACTGTGTTACTATGTAGAGCAGAAGATTTTTTGATCTACTAAATTACTAGCAGAACTTTCTCTAAAGCAATCATAAGCTATTTTTCTGGCCACAAACGTGATCTCAGAATGCCAGTGGTCAAGCATTGTTATTGCTGGGTAATTGAAGCAGAGCATGACAAGCTGTGCAGAGAAGCAAAAGGTAAGGAAGGGTTAAGAGCCGCCTGTTCCTGACACATGTTCAGTCACCTGTCCATCTAGACAAGCTGCTGTAGAGTGGACAGAAAGAACCTCGCCTTGGCAGGAGGTGACATCCTTGGTCCTTTCCATTCCTAAGTGCTACTGGCGATGCCCATCACTAACAGCCCCAGCCCTTGCGGGGACCAGCGCAAGGGAGATCTGCTTGCTGTGACGCCCCGCAGCCTTCATACAAGGGCTGCGCAGGTTTTTACAGGGGACACGGACGGGAGCCTACGAGCCTTTGCTTGCTGCCTTTGGGGGACTTGTGAGGATGAGACAATTGCTCTCAGGGCAAGGAACGGCATTCGCACAGCTGATCCCCTTTGCTCCTCCCGCATTACTCATGGAGAGGGCCCTCGTGGCCAGCGCATCTGGAATCTCTTTTCCCTGCATTCTTCCACGTGTCTGTAGCTAAGAATAGTGTCTTTTCTCAGAAACATAAAACTCTGAAGTGAGCTTTTAAAGAAACGTTGGCCGTGTCAGGCTCTCTGGGGCAGGCAGTGCAGGACGGGTGATTTTTAGTGCCTGACCCAGCAGCAGTCACATAATTGTTTACAAGAAACAAGCAGCACGAACTGTGATGTGGTAGCCCCCAAAATACTCTTTTCTATGAGGACAAAATGTCTTGGGGAAAACTTCTAGGTGCTGCTCCTCAGCTGTAGAAGCTGGCGTAACCTTCCCTCGCATTTCAGAGTATAAAGATTCAGTGCAGCTCATGCTCTGAGATGTCTTACAGAAAACCATGCTTCCAAACTTTCCCACTGTGGGAATGCGCAATGGTTTGAGCAACACTTGACATGAACTTGGACTCCGATCCCACCGAGCAGCTCCCCGGAGGAACAACTCGAACTGGGTGCCTTGGGACGCTTCACTCCGGCTCTGATGATACAGGGGCATTTGAGCATGAAGAATGCACAATTTTGCTCTTCTGTTGAAAACCTGCAGTCAAAACCCTTTCCAGGCTCCCGCAGCAGCCAAGAGACCTAATGCCTTTTCAAACAAGGATGGTGAATAAAGGTTTGTTGAAAGGAGATGGCAAAAGAAAAGCCAGTTGTGCCCAAACTCTCTTAACCTCTGATCCACCCGTGAACTGTTCAGAAAAAACGCTGGTACTTCAATTTTAAATCAGTACATAAATAAAAACCAGTAAATTGAACTGGTTGTTATACATGAGAAGCAAGTAAGTGTTGAAGTGCACAAATTAGAAAATAATAGACGATGTTTTCCTGCATTGAGCCTTGGCTATGTTATGAACTGACTGGAGGGATTTGTTTTTTCTGGCAACTCAGTGATGATTTTCCTGCACTTTGCTCCACTTCTGTGAATTAAGTTTAATGGCAAAATGGCCACGGGGAGTAGGTGGCCGGGGGGCACATCCACAGACACCCCCCCGCCCTGCCCTGCTGTCACCTCTCCTCTCTGGCTACACCCCCAACTCCCTCCTCACTCAGCACAAAGCCCTGAGAAGCAAGGGACAAGCCGTCGACAGGATTTCTGTGTTGCTTCCTTCTGCTGCGTCCTGGAGTTTTTGTCATTAAGGGCTACACTGTGTTTTTATTTGCTGCAGAGCTTCCCTGTTACCAAAGCAGTATTCTTAACCGCAGAGCATCAACGGTTTCCCTTTTCAACATGGAGAATGAATCACTGAGCTCAAAACAGACTGTTCCTGCAGCTTTTGTCTTTCTAGGGACTTTTTTTTTCTCCGAGCAATAGGAAAACTCAGACTGGGTTTTACCTGCTGCAGAGAAAACTACAGACTAAAGGCAATCTGTGTTTTCTCTTCCTTCTATCTTTCCCCCCGTTGTGTCTCCCCTCCTATGCAGCTCACAGTCTCAGACATACTTTGGCGAAATGAGACTGTCACGTTCAACAAACGAATACCATTTTAAATCAGGGGAAGGCTCCACACTCAGATGTTAATCCCATCGAGAAGGTTCGTGAGCTTCTTGGAAGAATAACCTCACCCCAGCATGAGAGGTATTAAATGAAACACATTTATGCATCAATCCCTGGCAGATGGAAGAGAGCAGAGGGGTCCCCCAGGAGCACAGGGATCATCAGCTCTTCTCCTGGAGGCCTCCCTTCTTTTACCACCCCTCTCCCTCCCCGGTGTACGCTGCGGAGCCTGGCAGCAGAAAGCCTCCCAAGGATAGAGGGGCAGCAGCAGAGAACAGTTGCAAACTATGAACGAGGCCGTGCACGGCCACGCCGCCAAGGACATCGGGCAACGCCAGCAAAAGGCCTCTGGGGAGGCTGTCTCTGCTGGCCCCTTTGCTGCTGGAGGCAGGGGCCAAAGGTAGGGACCTCCTCCCCTTGCAGAGCCGGTGCTGGTGATCCAGCAGCCAAACCAAAAGACAGCAAATGCACGTGTCTTACTCCAACAATATGACCAAGTGCAAGCAATGGGACTGTCGCTGCTTAATGGGGCAGCAGTTTTACAGTTTGTCAAGATGCATGACACATTTTCCAATTTCCTGAAATACAAGGTGCTTCTTTTTGAAAAAATCATTAATTTTTTGTTTTTGGTGAGCATTAAGAAACGATACTGTCGATTTCAGTGGCAGAAAAATATTTTGCTACTTGATAATAAATGTTCATGGGATACAAAGGTAACAGAAAAGACTTTTGGACACAATAAAGTGATTATGTGCACTGAATTTGGAATCAGGTAACCTTTCCCCTTCCTCCCCCTACTTTAAAGACTGTACCTCCTACAGATGCAGAGCAGGCGGACTTTGCTCTGCTACTCAGTGACAGAAGAGTGATGCTCACTGGCGGATCCTGCAGGCCTTTCCATTCTCTACTTCCATTTGCTATTATTTCTTTTCAACGTTGTGCATCATGCATTTGTTTGCATGACTGCTGCGGAGCTGAGTTTCGGAAGAGGTAAACTGTATTTGTACAGGAGAGAGGGAAGTTTGGCACTCCACCAGCTACTGAATCTTATTCTAGCCTGTAATTTACCACAAGGAAGTGCAGAGCTCCGGATAGGTGCCCCAGGCTGCACTGAATCTATCTGAATACAACCTCCTATGTTTTCTTCCTCTTCAAAAAGCCAAAGGAATATTAAAGTGTACTGCTAGAGCATAATTCTGCTCTAGTCAAACACGAAGGACCTACAGCAGTGTTAATACAGATTCTCTTTCCTTTAGACTTCATCTAAAACTGAGCCATCCTTTGAAGCCCCTACTTTTGTCTTCATCGCTGATCCAGCCTGACTCTGGATATGCGATATGGTTCTTAGGATCTGATCTTCCACTATGACAAAATTCGTCTTACTGAAGAAGTTGCATTTTTCTCCTGTGTCGCATCTCCCAATTTACTCGCTTTCCTATGAATCTTAGGGTTTTCTTTTCACTAGAGAGGCAGAAGTCCAGGGATTGTAAGAGTCACGCAGAGGATACAGTGCTATGCTCTGATGACGTGGAAAGTCTGAATCAGACTTAGTAAACTTAGTTGGACTGAAACGATACAACCGAGACACAAACACAGAGTAGATCAGAGGACCTTCTCTATATAGAAGGAGCAAGGACCTTCTCTGTCGCCTGGCCATCTTTCAAACACCATTTAAGGTAACTGCTTGTACAATTTTTCAAAGGACAGCTGTCCAACAGCAGAGAAAGCAAGCCAACTTTCAGTGGAAACACAGGATACCTCTACTAATTGTACCCAGAATTCAAGCTTTGTCGGTGGCCAAACACCCCTCTGACTGTAGATAGCAAAAGGCAACGTATTTGTTGCTTCTGAAAGCTCTTGCTAACCTGCATGTTTTCCGTAGCGTCACCGAGCAATCCTCCAAAAGTGATAGCATTGGTCACTGTGGCCAGGTAGATGAAAAGAACGGCTGAAAGGGCTTGAATATTTAAAGCATCGTAGAAGTCGCTGGCGAAGAACGGTGCTTTCCTCTTTATGTCTTTGATTAAGCCACCACAGAATCTGAAAAGACAAGCGAGAGAAGGCTCGTGCAAAATGTTTTACAGTGAAAGTCACCGAGATAAGTAATCGGAAAACATTGCCAGAAATGAAGTATTATCTGAAAGGAGTGAGATCATCACATTACATAATAGTCTTATTGCAGCTGTGATGGTCCAGGGATATCACTCAGATAACGTTGTAAAGAAAGATAATATCTTGAACATGTGATGCAGCTGGAAAGAGACAAATTTCAGCAACGCGAGCCCTACTTCTGCTGAAACAGACCGCTGAAGTTTGCAGTTCAGGAAGCTTGTCTGTTGTTTTTTTTCCCAGCTATACTGGTTGATATAATAAAATATATTAACTCTAGTCTAAATCCCTGACTGCATTTCGCCACATGGCAGACACAATGGCTGGGTGAGCCAAACAATCCGCTAAACGGAAAAATGCTTCAAACTGTTAACCAGAAAAGAACTAGCAGTAAAAACGCAAGTAAGTGAAATCATCTTGGAGAACAAGAGAGCTCCACTTGCAGACATATTCTTTCTGTACAATCCCAGACAAGACAGTATTTCTCTCTTATAAACTCCATGTGGCTCTGACACTGCCAGCATGAAAAATGTTTCTGTTTTGCCTCTTGCTCCCTTGTACGCAGTTCACCACCGACGCCGGGCCTGTTCAGACACTCTGTACGCAGAGAGGTACGTGGCAGATAGGCACACATCACTTTCTGACCCAGACTCGGGTCGTATGGACCGCCTTGTACACACCAATGTGTAATTTCAGACTTTCAGACTTTTCTCCTAGGATTTAGATATTCTACTAGAACTTAAAAAAATTTAGCGTGGGAGGGAGGTCACAATGCCACCACGAAAACCTGTGTATTGACCCTGAAATGCTGAGCACACTGTTTTATGCCCACCTGAACTGCATTCCCGCTCTAGTGGACTTTTACGTGGCATACACGCAGAGTGATAAAGCAGAGAGTAAGGCCTCGGGCTCTGTTATCTTCTGTATTTCTATCCCATAAAAGCCTTCACCTGCGCAATTCAACTACAACAGGAATGTCTGCAAAAGGGAACGTCTCTGCTTTTGGCTAAACCACTTCCAGCAACCCGAACGGAAACCGTAGCTGTACCTGCCACGTTTACATCCCTTACAGTTCGTCTAACTTCACAGACTTTCAATAGCCAACACCTACCTGGGCCTTCGTTCATTTTTGAGTGCCTCATTTAAGATGCTTCGTAATTTGCTGAAGCTGGATGTTCAGAACCCTTCAGAGAGTCACAGGCTGGGCACTAAAAACCCCAGGGCACGTTTTGGGGTCACAGCTCAACCTGTGCAAACAGTATGTCGGGATGGAAAGCAGAAGGGGCGAAACGGTTCCTCAAGGGAAACGTTGCCACCTTGCTCGGATCACTCCAGGTGCACCACGCTGAGCCGCGCGTTACTGACCTGCCAGTTCGTTGCAGTTCTTCGCAGTCCCCGTGGCCCCCGCCCCCGTGTCCTCCATCATGAGGCGTGTCTCCATTCATCTGTAGATTTTCTCCACCGGAGTACATGTTTTTCCTAGGCAAGAAGGCAAGCCAAACTGAGGCTCACTGCGTTGCCTGACAGCCCCACAAAACATCATCCACGCACAGTTCCTCCAAACAAGGGTTACACAGCCTTCCCTGAAGCCAAAGGAGACTAGAAGGCTGACCTGCCGGCAGCCAGAGTGGAACGTAGCGTGTTAGAAAGACCAAGCAGAACCCCAAAGAGTCTGGATAACCCCTACGTACGTTATTATACGCCTACATCACCACCTTAAAGGATACAGAATTGCGAGAACACCCTCCCTCCAGCTATTAAGAAAGGCCTGAAAATACCTCTAGTACTTTCTAAATACGGACAGACAGATGCAGGTCACTCTGCAGCTGCTCAATAAACCTGATGTTCCCAACGCACCGGCTCTTCCCATCACCTTTTCAGAACCGATGCACGCTGTCCTTCATCACAGAGCTAAACCTGCCCGTCTCCTGCTATTACCTTTTATCTGAAGAAGGAAGAGACTTGGGGGGCTCTATCCTAATGGCTGGATCCCATTCCCCAGGGGGGAGCACAATGACTTCATCCAGAAACTCATCGATGCCAGCGATCAGGTCCTGCCGGTCCTTGGCTTTATAGGCAATGTCATGGAATACCTGCAAGGAAAAGAGAGACTCCGTGTAGAATAGGTTTGCATTTTCTGTAGCCCAGACTCCAGAGGCAGCTACCGAGTTTTAGTCTACAAAAACAACTTATTCATTTTCAAAAACCTCTCAGAAAGTATCACGACACTTGGCACAAGGGTGTGTGAACCTCAGGAAAGCCCCTTCCTTTGGTTGGTCATTTAATGATAGAGATTCTTTTCTTGCGGGCTTATTTCTAATTTTTAGCAAAATATACATTACTAACCTTTTTAAAAATGTTACTAAAGCAATTATCCATTTCTTTTATCCAAAAAAAGAGTTTTCCTATAAATAAGGAGTTTCAATTATACTTTGAGAAGACGCTTTTACAAAGCCGCAAAAAAGTGTCAATCCTCTTCTCCTACCTACTTCAGTCTATCAAAAAACAGGTTAGTTTTCAACCCTGTGACATAGAAGCGATGACAATATTTACTCAAAAATAATAACAAGCAGCACAAACTAGTTTTACTGAAAGGCCTAGTATTACTGATGAAGAGCAAATGAGAGGAGAGAGGAAAAAGAGCATTAATGCCGAATTTTACAGAAAACTTTCGGACTACTAGGAGCGAAGGGGGATCAGCACACGTGATAGACTTAATAAGAACAGTCGGTGGTAGGAAGGAGGACTTTGGGGCTATGGAAACTAGGCCATTGCTCCAAGCAGTGGAATGACAGAAAACAGACGAGCTGAGACCGGGCGAGCGGTAATTAAAGGGATCTGTATGAGAGCAAAACAACATAAGGAGAAAGCAAGAAACAAACATAATGTAAATCAGCCCCAGACGCACAGAGCCCAAGGGACAGTGGAAGAAAGAAGCTGTAAATGAATATTGAAAGCCCAGTCATCTCATTGAGGTGTATGATTAGGGAGTAATTGCTAGCTACTCATGGATAATATGTAAGCACTGCCTGAATGAAAAAGTGCTCTGGGATACAGCGCAACACACAACAGTATGTCCTGGGTGTAACCATTTCTGCGGTAATTACCTGGAGCGTAGCTGCGGGCTACTGTGGTCGTGGAATGCGACACAAGGCGCACACCGCGGCAAGTTAATTCAAAGATTAGTTCGTAGTCTATTTGAAAGAGTGATTGCTAGCAGGAAAATACACACGATGGACAAAAACTTCCTATAGTCACACTCTGATAAAAACATGAAGCCAGATGGAATAATTATGTAAACAGATGGACCTAGGAGGTGACATTTGGATATTTCAGCTTTATGTGTATGCCCATTCCCGTCGACCATGCTGGAGGAAAGGACATCATTATTAGCTAATGAACTGGAACCTGGGAGCACCCATTTCACACAGGAGAAGTCAAGACACCTACCTCATCCGACATCAGAGTGGCGATGGCTCGGCCGATCTCATGATAGGACTTTGCTTTGCCCTTTGGTCCCAGCAGAATGAAGAGAAATCTGACAAACCAAACAGATCGTTCCATTTAGGATAGCAAAATGGATTGCTTATTACTTAATACAATACCTAGACAGAAATTCAACTTTAAAAAGCTGTGGCCCTTGTTAGAGATCCAGAGGCTGCCAGTGGCCTCCACCTAACTTGGGAGTAGAGGTTACACCCTGCAGCCCATCACGTTTACTCAGACAAGCAAGACATTACCCAGAGTTTTTCTCACAAAAAGCCTTAAAAGCAGCCTTGAGACCACTATGGCCAAATGCTGTCACAGCCCTACGCGGAATTCACTACCATCCAGCAACCCAGACTTCAGGATGAGGTGATGGAAGGACATTCTTCCAGTGCCCAGTACCTGGAAGTGAACTATGCACGATGGATGCAGCTCCAGCGCAGAGTGGTTGAGAATCCATGCCCTGTGCACCACAGAAAGCCCATCCACCTCCATGGCGATTTATTTGATCACACGTTACTGGCTCCTTGGAGCTGTTCAATCCTTGTATAAGGTATCTGCGTTAAACGTTTCCCTAGTCGGATTCCAGTGCCATTTACGTGACAACAGCAGCGATGTAACTGCTGCTAAACAGCCAGGAGGGGACGAAAGAAGATTTCAGGATTGTTCACTCCGCACAGCTCCGAGGGCAGTGACACACCTGAGCACCCTCTGTGCACAGGACGGACCAAGCGGGGCCGGCACAGCGGCGGGCACAGAGGTCATAGGGAAGATGCTATTAACTACCCACATTGCTCACTGTAAAGTACGTTGCTCCCCCGAGCTATCAGATAGCACTCCGCGTGCTTATTAATGCTCTGCTGGGGCCGAGATCTCTGCTAC